GGTGGTTGGTGGTGACATCCATTTGACAAAGAGAGGGACAGAGGTTTAGTTGAGGTACTCAGGAGAGTCCAGTTGGAAATTCAGATATGGAGCTCTGGAGACTTCTGGGGTGGATGTTAAGAGGTGAGAGTCATGAGAATATTGCTTTGGTTGAAGCCACAGGTTTAGTGAAGGTGATTCAGAGCGAGTACATAGGGTGCGAAGGAAGTGGGCAGGCGATTGATCCTTGGAAATCAATATGTAAGAGATTAACAGAGGAAAGATTAACTGAGAAGGAAGTAATGGGGCAGTAGAAGGGAAACCAGGGGCGCTTGAGTGGCTCAGTAGTTTAAACACCTGACTCTTGATATCAGCTCAGGTCTTGTTCTCAGGGTCATGAGTTCAAGCCCCATATTGGGCTCCACAATGGGATGGACCCTACTAAAAAGGAGAAGGAGGAAGAGGAGGGGGAGGGGGGGGAGAGAAACCTAAAAAGGATATCAGGCAGCCAAGGTGGAATAGAGAGAAAATATGATGAAATCAGTATTAAGTTCTAGAAACTTAGAAAAAATGAAGACTAATAAGTATCCACTGTACTTGAAAATTTGAATATAATTGCTAACCTTAGGAGAGAAGTTTCACTAGAGTGGTGGACTGGGGTGGAGTTAGTTGAAAGTAAGGTGAGCCAGATTGTGGTAGGTTGAATGAGAGACAAGGGGAATAGGGGACACATATTACTCCCAAGAGATTTAGCTTTGAAAGGAGAGCAAGAGAGCTACAGAGCAGTAGCTTGAGGGGCTAGGGTCCTCAGAGAGGCTGTTTCCTTCAAGTTGTGTGACACTTCAAGGGAGGGGAAGAGCATGTTTATGTACCAGAGAGAAACCAGAGAGAGGGGGAGGCTGACATCATAGGGGTTTGAGCAAGGCTGCTGAGGAGGCAGGAGAAGTGATACAGGTGAGGCCCATGATAATAAGCCCAGCAATGTTTTCTTACTCTAGTTGCTTCACCATCATTTGGTAAAATATAATTTTTAGGTTAGATTCAATAAACTAGGCAGAGAACTCCTGTTACATATTTTTGTATTCCCTATCATAGTGTGTTAGATGGGGCAGTGTGCCTGCAATTTTTAAAATTTATTAAATCGTTCCTCTGATCCATTATCAACAACACTCTAATGCTTACAGGGAATAAAAGTAGAAACAATTTCAAGTCCTTCAGCATCTAGCTAAAATCTTGGTCCTAGCCTGTTTCCATTGTGGCTGTCCTCTCCGGCCAGTGGCTGTGTTGGCTTACCCACAAATGTACCTGGCTGATCCTGCCTCTTTAGCCCTGCTGCTACCCCACCACAACATTGTCACTCTCTGTACGTATAGGGAGGCTGAGACTGCAGTCTCAACCGATCATGGCCTACAAGACCCTTAGGAATCTGCCATCTGCCTATCTCTTCCCTCACACTTTCTTTGTTTCTCCATCAGGAAAGTACTTTCCTACCTCCAGACATTCGCCATTACTTAGCTGCCTGGAATGCTCTTTCTTTAGCATTTTTCATGGTTGACCTTCAGGTCTCATCCTGAAGGTCGCTTCATCTCATGTGATGAAAGTCAATCCATGCAGAGTACATCTCGTACTTCATTATGAGTAATTATAATACATTGTTTATTTCCTTCAAAGCACTGAGAACCATCTCCACTCATTTTGCTTATCCTTTCTTCCGTCCTCCCTTCCTTCCCCCAACAGAACAGAAGCTCTATAAAGGCTCTTCCCAGTCTGTCCTATCTTCTTCACACCCCCAGTGTCTAGTATAGGGCTTAACAAGTGCTTTACGAGTATGTTCCACGCATAAACGAACAGCTCCTCCACAGTCTCAAACCCCAGCTTAAATCCCACCTCCATAGTTAATAATAATAGTTTATATGTAAGTCTTCTTTTCTTTTTCTTTATTTATTTATGATAGTCACACACACACACACACACACAGAGAGAGAGAGAGAGAGAGAGAGGCAGAGACATAGGCAGAGGGAGAAGCAGGCTCCATGCACCGGGAGCCGGACGTCGGTTTCGATCCCGGGTCTCCAGGACCGAGCCCTGGGCCAAAGGCAGGGGCCAAACCGCTGCGCCACCCAGGGATCCCTATGTATGTCTTTTAAAAAAAGATTTTATTTATTTATTCATGAGAGAGAGAGAGAGAGAGAGAGAGAGAGAGAGACACGCAGAGGGAGAAGCAGGCTCCATGCAAGGAGCCGGATGTGGGACTGGATCCCAGGTCTCCAGATCAGGCCCTCAGGGGCTGAAGGCGGGGCTAAACCACTGAGCCACCTGGGCTGCCCTTATATGTATGTATTTAGTGCTTCCTTTGTTCTAGCAGTTACATATGTTATCTTACTTAATGAGTCCCCTCCTCCACTCACCCCCTGTAACTTGTACAGTAGTTATTATCCAGGCCACACATTCTGTGCTTACTTGAAATTTATCCTCTTGCTTTGTTATTTGATATATTACATGCATCACTCTTTTTGCTCCAGTGAAATGAAAATTGTTAGTGCTCCCCCATATCACACAGAGTGTTCAAGGTATGCTGAGTGACCAAAGATATCCCCCCAGGGTTATAAGAGTCACATAATAAAAATGTTGATGTTATGTTTATTATAAACTTCAGACAGAAAATCAAACCCAATATACAAGGGGACAAACTCTGTTCTACCAGTAAAATGCCAAAATGGTTAAGGCAGGATAGTTTGAACTTTGAGGTAGGAGATATGCAGTTCAACGCCCTCCATTTCCAGAAGCATTTGCTAAAATTTTAACTTTCCAGCAAAAAATTGTCCAGCCGGGCAATAGTGTTTGCAAAACCAAGCATTGGGTTACCTGGGTAGCTCAGTGGTTGAGCGTCTGCCTTTGGCTCAGGTCGTGATTCCGGAGTCCTGGGATCGAGTCCCACATCAGGCTCCACGCAGGGACCCTGCTTCTCTCTCTGCCTATGTCCCCCGCCTCTCTCTGTGTGTCTCTCATGCATAAATAAAATCTTAAAAAACAGAACAAACAAAAAAAACAAGCATTATTTCACAGTGAGAAGTACAGCAGCAGGTTCCATAAGAAAGGTTCCCAGCATTAAGCTTTGACTACTGGGTTTTGAAATATCTGCTTTGCTGTGTAGTGGAGTCCCAAGCTGAAGGTCCCTCCAGTGTGCATGATCTCAGGAATCTCTTCGCACATCTCTCAGCAGTGGAGTGGGGAACCCGGAGTCTATTTTGATGAAGATGACAGGAGGAAGATCCTCCTAAACTCCTCCAAATTCTTCTACGGTCTGGAAATTCTGTCCTACATCTCACCTTGGGTTTCAGTTGCAACCTGTTAGTCCAAGTTTGAAGCTCAGATCAAAAGAAACATCACTGATCTCCAAGGAATCCACCCTTTATTGTAAAAGACAACTGTCACGGGCAGTCTGCTCTGCTCACCCCATGTGGGTATGGCCCTCCCCAAGGCTACTGGTAAGTTTGGAGTCCCCAGGGGCTCTTATCTCTAGCTCTTATCTACATGTGAATGAACCACAAGAGTCACTCCTGAAGTCTCAGACTCTGAGTACACACAGCAGTGATTTTCTTCTTGGGTTCCACCCTGGAGCTGATGTGTGCAATCAGGAAAATGTCACCTGTCTCTCCTCATTTGATAGGTCAGCCAGAAGCACCTATCCTGGGTGTCCTTCTGGATGTGCTTCCTCCAAGAGACCCTCCCTCCTATCAAAAAGGTGTCTTCTCTCCATTGAACCTTAAACTCCACAGAAACAATTGTTCATTGCAATAGAATATGGACAAAGCTATACTTTGCCAAGGGTTGTTTTTCAGTGGTCACGGCTGTAATTAATTGCCATCCTCCTAATGACACACATTTTCCATTCCAGATGCTTGAAGTTCCTTCTCTGCTAAATAGTTTAGTAATTATCTCTTTGGCCACTACCTGCCTCCCCCGGGGAACCGCCTGCCAGAGTGACCTCTACTCCTCCATCCATTTTAGAGTCCCTATAAATTAGGAAGAACTCTTGCCATCTTGAGTAACTTCATGACCTAGCTTATTTATTTGTGGGAGTGGAATGTGGCTATCTTTTCTCACTTTAATTAGGGCCAATGGAGACAAGCACCATCAAGGCAGCCATGATTTATCAGAATGCCAGTTTTTCAAAATTCTCAAGTGTACAACATTCCAGAGTGTAGACCGAATAGGAGGAAAAGAAACGAAATTTATGGTCATGATCCTGTGGGGGTAAACCTTGGGTAGAGCCAAGTCCTCACCTTCGCTCAAGGGCTCACATTTAGATGGAGACGTTATCTCCCAGTGAGACCAGAGAATCCGAGTGTGCGTGTGCACGTGTGTGTATGAGCAGCTCGCTCACCAAGTATAAATCAACATTTACAATATGCCGCAGGGTAATCCTGCTCCTGGTATTGCGTTTTTTTTATTCGTTCACTTAATATTTAGCATATCAGGAACCAAGCCCCACTTCTCCCCTCCTCCTCCAGCCCCTCTCCACGCAGGAACCAGTCCCAAGGCCCTGGGGGTCCTGACTCGGCGTCCTACCACTAGCGGGGAACAGGGTGGGAGGGAGACTTGGAAGACGGGGTTTGGGCGGCAGGGATTGCAGGGTCGGGCAGCAGGCCTCGGAAGCCGGGCTCGCGGCTCCAGCGGAAGCCCGGGAAGGCCCGGCGGAGGGAGCGCCGCAGCACCGCGCCGGCCAAGGCGCACCGAGGCAGCTGCGCCGCCACCTGCCCGAGGCTTGGGGGCGGGGCGGGGCGGGGCGGGGCCTCGCGGCGAGGCGCCTGCGGCCGGGAGGGGCGTCCGGGAGGGGCGTCCGGGGCCGGGAGAGGTGGGTTGGCGGCGGCGGCCCCCGCGGCGACTCCGGAGGCGACCTGGGCCCCGCGCTCCGCGGCCTGCGAGCGCCCGGAAGGGCCCGGCCTGCGCGCTCCCGGGGGTCGGGGGCTGGGGGCTGGGGGCTGGGGGCTGGGGGCGGGAGCGGGAGCGCGGCGGGAGGGGCTTCGAGCGGGTCTGCTTTTCGTTTCCGTTTTCCTCCTTTCCCCAGGCTCATCCCCAGACCGGAAGGTGCCGGGGCCGAGCGGCGCCCAGGCCCACCCGCCCTGAGCCTCCGGAGTTGGGCCACGAGGGCGCCCGCTCCTCCTGGACCCCGCCCATCAGAGCGGAGAGCGGCTCAGGGTGCGCCTGTCTGGACGGATCTCCCGCAGGTGGAAAGTGAACGTGTAGTCGAGTTGAAGCTGGTGCCTTGGGGGAAGGAGAAACACGCTGGTGGGCAGAGATTCCAGAGGGAGAGCCCTCAGGAGCGCCTCGGTGCCTCGGGCCCGTGGCGTGGTCTTGTCGCGCGCTGGACCCCGCGGCTTATCCCCCCCAGCCTCCGCACAGCCGCCCCGAGCGGCCTCGGGGCCGTGCCAGTTTCGCCGCTTTAAACGCCTTGCATCCTGATATTTTTCCGTCTCCCCTCCAGATCCTCGACGCAGTGACGCAGAGCCGAGCCTTTCAGGGTTGGCTGCAAGCCAAAGCCCAGCCTCCCGATGCAGTCTGGAGCCAGCCAGTGTGAAGAGGAGCCCCCTTCCCTCCTGTGGGGTTTGGACCCGGTATTCTTAGCCTTTGCAAAACTCTACATCAGGGATATCCTGAACTTGAAGGAGTCCCGCCAGGTACAAGGTATGTGGCTGGCGAGCCTGGAGGTTGCCCAGTGCTGCACCTGCCTGCATGCACCTCACCCTTGTTTCTTCAAAGCTGCACAAAGCCCGGGCGTAAGTGGCTTTCGGGAGAGCCTTTTGTGCTGCGTGCTCTGAAAATGACCTAGCCTGGACTCTCGAATGAGTTCATTTCTGTGCAAGTTAAAAAGCCTAATTCTTACTTTTGTTTTTTTTTTTTTTTTAAATACGTGCTTGGAGAAGTAACCTTTGTACCCAGGAATGTTTTTGTCTGCGGTTGAGGTCTTTCATATTTTAATATGCTCAGTGTTTTTCTTTGGGACAGCTCTTGGTGGAAAGCTCACTGGACCAGATGTCTCTAGGCCTTATTCCCTGGCCTGGGCATGTGACTCACCTGTAAAGCTTAGGTGTCTTCTTTGTAAAAGTGGGGATTAACCAGGTCGGATCTTTTCTTTCTTTCCTTTCTTTCCTGAGAGACACACACAGAGAAAGAGAGAGGCAGAGACGTAGGCAGACGGAGAAGCAGGCTCCGTGCAGGGAGCCCGATGTAGGACTGGATCCTGACTCCAGGATCACGCCCTGGGCCATAGGCAGGCGCGAAATCGCTGAGCCACCCAGGCGTCCTTGGTCTGATTTTCTTATGGGGTTTTGTTTTGTTTTCAATTAATCAGAACCAAGTAATATAAACTTCCTGAGAGGAAAGATGTCATCTGCCTTATTTAGCTATGTAATTCCAGTGCTTAGAACAGTGCCTGGCATATAGTGAGCCCCCCCCCCAAAAAAAAGAAAATGGTAGTTGGGCAGCAAAGCATTATAAATAAATGTGAAATTAAAGAAAACTGTATTTTAAAGTGGTGGTTACTAAAGATAGGTTCTTCATACCTAAAAATATAACAAATGTAATTTGGGGTAGATTTAAATAATTCACATAGCTGTGTATGGATCTTCACTTTACTGTGTTATATGAAAAGTTTGGTTAAACTCTGCCGTTTTGAATGAATAGCAAGGTGTGAGTCAGAAGTAGTCAAGAATCTCAAATATGCACGGTTTGAATGAAAGGATGTTTTATGTGTTTCCAGTTCTATGTACAAATATTCTAAAGCCTTTTATGCAGATTTTTCACCACACCTTGGTTTCCTAATTATTGTTGGAAATGGTCTGGTTTTGTTCTTTTCTTGGAACGCAGTCATCCTCCCCCACAGTTGTCCATTTTCCAGAACAGGCGGATATTCTTCATAGCTCATCTCTGGAAGAAAGTAATTCACACCAAATGCCAGCCTTGCATTTGAAAGAAGGTCTTAATGAAGGTGCTCAAGGAAATTTCAGGACATGATAGGGACTTAACACTTCCTGTGGATGAAGTACTTTATGATGTATTAACAGCAAATCAAGGAAACCTGATCCTCATGGTCTTCTGATGATTCAGATGTGATTTTGTTGCCAGGTGGACTAGGGAGACTCTTGACCCTGAGGCCTCCATCCAGCCCTTCCCAGGGATATTGCCAGAGGTTCTTGGTCTCATTGCAAGAAAGAATTCAAGGAAAGACCAGACATAAAAGTTGAGTGGTGCAAATCGGAAAGGTTATTAAAGTGAGAGTACACCCTCAGCAAAGAGGGGGACAAACCCTAAGAGACTTAACTGTAGAAATCAAACAGAGGGTTGCCGTTGGGGAGGTAGGTGGGAGGGTGGGGTAATTAGGTGATGGGCATTCAGGAGGGTGTGTGATATAATGAGCACTGGGTGTCGTATGCAACTGATGAATCACTGAACTACTCTGAAGCTAATAATAGACTCTATGTTAATTAATTGAATTTAAATAAAATAATTTAAACAAAGAGTGTACTTGAGATGTGAGAGCATGTGAACTCAAGGGAGAGTTGCACCCCATGTTTTGAGTTCCTGTCTTTTAGACAGTTAATTAGGGGAAGGAATATTTATGACTCGGGGAAGGAGTTTTTTGGGGGAGCAGGGTTTTATGCCTTTTCTCCCTTCCTTGGCCAGGGTTTTTGACCTTCTTGTCTGGAGCCTGTTTGGTTTGATCTAGCCTCGTGTGACTTTGTTTTTGGAGTACTGCCAGGACCCATCTCTGACCTTCCCCCTAATAGTTAGCCATGACTCCCCCTTTGCTGGCCTCCAAGCATCCTGTTAACAACCTAACTGCTGACTCTTAACCGTTTTTAAAATGAAACATCATGGTTGAAGCAGACACCAACCATAATTTCATGAGGGAGATCCTCTTTAGATTATACTGTAAGGCTCTAAGGGGTGGAAATTCCCCTTGTCTCGGTTCTTATTTTTGTGTTGTGTTTGGTTTGGTTTGGTTTGGTTTTTGAGGCTAAGGGCTGTCCATGTCTGAAAGAACAGCCACATGATTAGAGGACTGGGATTTCCAACCAGGTGACATCAGCTCAACTCATTAGGAAAGGAGAGGTGCTGGAGATTGAGTTGAAGTGTGGCCAGTGGTTCAGTCATGCCTGCATAATGAAACCCAAATAAAAACTCTGGACAGGGATGCTTGGGTGGCTCAGTGGTTTAGCCCCTGCCTTTGGCCCAGGGCATGATCCTGGAGTTCTGGGATCGAGTCCCACATCGGGCTTCCTGCATGGAGCCTGCTTCTCTGTCTGCCTGTGTCTTTGCACCTCTCTCTCTCTCTCTCTCTCTCTCTCTCTCTCTCTCTCGATCATGAATAAATAAATAAAATCTTAAAAAAAAAAAAAAAAACAACCTCTGGACACCAGGGCTCAGGTGACTTTTCCTGGTTGATAATCAGGAAATTTGATGACAAATACATTGATTTGTCAGGAGGGTAATGTGTTCTGTGGATGTGGAAGCTTTGTGTTTGGACTTTCCCAGGCCTTGTCTGATGTATCTCTTTAGATAGTCCTGATTTGTACCCTTTATTGTAAAACTGTAGTCATAAATCTAGTACCTTTCTGAGTTGTGTGCCATTCTAACAAATTATCAAAGCTGAGAGATTTAAGGACTCCTCGAATTTGTAGCCAGTTGGTCAGAAGTGTGGGTGGCCTGAGAACACCCAAATTTAGGGCCATTGACTAAAAGAGCAATTTTTTGGGAAACCGTGCCTTTAACTTGAAATTTGACCTTACTCTGCATGTTTACCATCAGAATTGCCTTGCAAAATGGTTGCAAAATGTCAGCTCCTTTAAATTAATCCGCAAATTTATGGTTACACTAATAAATACTATGAAGTTTGTGGTGGTGGTGGTGTTTATAGGTTTTAGCGTCTTTTTAAAAAAGATTTATTTATTTATTTATTTATTTAAAAGATTTATTTTAAAAAGATTTATTTATTATTTTTGAGAGACAGTGAGTGAGTGTTGGGGAAGGAGCAGAGGGAGAGAATCTTAAGGTAGACTTCCCCTGAGTGTGGAGCCCGACAAGGGGCTCAGTTTCACGACCCACGAGGTGATGACCTGAGATGAAATCAACAGTTGGCTGCTTGACTGACTGAGCCACTCAGATGTCCTAGTTTTGGGATCTTTTTGGCTTTATCTTCTTGTTTAGCACATACAGCAATACTCTATTATTCTAAATATCCCTGTCAGACTTGAATAATGGGATAACTATTATCTGTTGTTTAAGACAAAATACAATACATATATGTTATGTAATTCTAGAGGGTCCGATGAAGAGGAAATAGTGTATTCATAAGAGTCATATTAAAAGTAGTATCTTAGGCATTTGAATGCTGTTGGACATCAATTAAATAATGGCAGTTAGACTAAAAAGATATAAAATTACTTTAAAAAGAGAAAACAAGGGTGCCTGGGTGGCTCAGTTGGTTAAGCGTTTGCCTTCAGCTCAGGTAATGATCCCAGGGTTCTGGGATCAAGTCCTGCATTGGGCTCCCTCCTCAGTGAGGAAGCTACTTCTCCCTCTCCCTCTGCCATTCCGCCTGCTTGTGCTCTCTCTCTAATAAATTTTTAAAAATCTTAAAAAAAAAAAAAAGTGGAAATAGGCTACTGTCTTGCTATGGTGGTGGCTGTTCAGGGATGGGCTGCTGTGAAAGCTGCATCACACCGTGTGTAACCCTGGATCCCTGAACCCTCCCGGCATGACCCTCCTTCCTGGGACCTGATGGTCAGCACCTGGAACAAAGGCAGCTGAAGCAGAAGGACTGCCTGGGGAAGGCCTGCAGCTCCAACTCCTCCTCAGCCAGTATCTGTTATCTTGGTTATTTTCTCTTATCTTTCTTTCAGTCAGTGGAGCCACCTTTTTTTTTTTTTTTTTTTTTAGCTCTTTTGTCGTGGGAGAGAATCTTGTGTTGATAGAAGGAAGTGGTCCTCTCCAGTTCTCATCGTGCCTCCCACCGTAGTATTGTTGCTTATGCTTCTGAGACTGTGGTTCATGTTGCTCTGTGCTTAGGGAAGTGTCCGCTCTAGTCCCAAGCAGTGTGTTTCCTCCTCACTTGATTTTCTCTGAATGTTTTGATTCAATCCATGTGTTATTTTCTTCTGAATTCGTTTTCCGTTGTTCAGAGATGCTTTAAAAAAAAAAAAAAAAGATTATTTATTTGAGAGAGAGAGAGCGCGCGTGAGAAGGAGGGGGGAGGCAGGATCCCCAATGAGCCGGGAGCCCTACATGGGATGGGGCTCAATCCCAGGACCCTGGGATGGTGACCTGAGTTGAAGGTTGACACTTAACCAACTGAGCCACCAGGTGCCCCCAGAGATGCTTTTGAGATGTTTTCTGCATCAATCACTTGAGATTAGAAGGATTTTTTGCATCTTTGAGTGACTGTCTGACCTTGAAGGTGAGCCATTGTCACTCTAGAAGATAAAGTTTAGGGGGCTACTTTTTCTCTACTTTTTTTTTTTTTTAAGAAAGTCTGTTGTGTCCTCAAGTAAAGACCTGTTCACATTTTCATTGAGTGGCCCAACCCAGTTTTTAACGTTGCAGGATTGGCCTCCATCACAGGTGACTTGACTTTACTGGCTTCTGTCATTAGTCGAGTCTTGTCCAGTCTTATCACTTTTTCGTATGCTTCAACCCGGGCAGAGCACTTTTTGGCTAGCTCTTTTCCCCTTCTCAAAGGATGTCGGCTTTTTACAAACACCATAGCAGCACATACCAGGGTGTCCTAGGGAAACCCAGAGAATCCTGGGACTGTGTCAAGTTTTCAAACGTCACCAGCAGAGCACCCCTTGGTGGGTCTAGAACCAGCTGGAGAGACATTTCAGGGGCAGGTACTGGGCTCCCCAGTGGCTCCCAAGGCTTCCACAGTTGTGCTTCCTACTACTAATATCCTGGGGGCTGTAACTGACCATATGGAACCCTGTAGAGTGTTCTATCTCTAATGCAAACAAATGCCTGGCAACCAGGACAGACCATTGAGATGGGGTCAAGGAAGGCCAGTCAGGTTCCAGAAAACAGTTCTTTCTAACTTTGCTCAGTGCACAAACAGAAAGTGTTACTACCTGTCCAGGGCATTTAGGGAAGCAGAAAGGGCTGGCTGAAACCAGATAACAGCCTGGAGCTCAGGCCACTCAAGCCCCAACTGGTCCTACAGCAAAACAAAGCAGTGCCATGTCATAGCTCTTTGCATGCTAGCATGGCAGGGCTTGGTGCCAGGGTATACCTCAGTAGAGGACCCTGTGCCCACATCCCTAGATGAGGCTTGTTTTCTGAGGCTGTGTGATGTCACCTCCCGCTGTGTCTCTGGTCTCCCTATTTTCCAATTGATCACATCCTTCTGCAGCTGTGATCAAGGGAATGTAACTGCTGAAAACTAGCTCGTGATTGGCATATTATGGAGTTAATAATATGAAATAATAAATAAATAAAAGTATATATACTTTATATAGCATAATATACTATAATGAATAATAAGTGTGTATGTATAAATAAATATATAAGTATAAACATTTATTTATATAAGTGTGTATATATATACACACTTATATAAATAAAATAACTTCTTTCTGCTACTGGGAAGTCTGAACTTGCAGAGGTCCTGTAGGGCTCTCCCTCTGAAGTCACCCTTTTTCCTTTGTGTTTGGCCAGTGCAGGGAGGCAGGGGCAGAGGCCCCAAGGGTCTCATCATCAAAGGTAGTAACTAAAGGACCCGGATATCAGTCATAAGAACTCAGGAGAAGTCGATCCAAACTGTCTTGCTCTTAAAATTTCATGGCTTTTCTGTGGAGCCAATTTGTCCCCACTCAGCCTAAGTGTTCCTGGAAGAGGGTGACCCTCCTTTGAGGATGAGTGACTCCGGCTCCTTCCCTTGTGTGGCCCCCCACCACGCCTCCTTTGCTCTGCGCATGGTCTCTAATCCACTAAATCATCTTGAGAAGGATGCTCTGTTGGGGAGAGGGCCCTCCTTTAGGCTGAATTTGCTACCATTTTTTCCTTCCAAGCACATCTCACTCTCTAGAATCTCCAGCTGACTGAAGCTCAGAGCCTCCTTATCCATCCTCTGAGACTTGTCATGAGTGACTAGTCCTCAGCCCCTTTAGCCACATGGGGTACAAGAGAGCTGTCAGTGGAAGCCAGTCTGGGGGTTTTGAAGGGCCTCAGGGTTCAGCCCACAGGTCTGTCCCACCCCCCAGCCCCATGGATATGGAGGAGAGAGGCTCTGACCAGGCTTGGTGAGGAGGAAGAATGTGGCCAAATGTCTATGCTCATGAATGTTTGTTTACAGTTCAGATCTTTATGTAAAAAGGAAATTGCCATTTAAACAGTTACAGCATCTTTCTGAAAGTAAAGAATTTGGCCATCATAGGGGGAAAAAACAGGCTGGAGAAGATTTTAGTCTGGATTCATTAGCTATAAGAGATAGATACACATACAAGTAGTTTAGGCCAAAATAGTAAGGATGTTAGGGGGCTGCAGATAGGAAACTCTGCAGGAGTCAGGACAGCACTGGGACCTGAAGTTGGAGTTAGGAACTCAGTGCAGCCAGGAGTCCCTGTGTCCCTTCCCAGGTCCAAAAAAAGGCCTCTGAGTATTAGTGTAAAGTTTCTCTTCTCAGGTTTCTCCTCTGGCAGGAACCTGCCTGCTGGCATCTGTCCTCTGGGTTTTGAAAATAGAGTTTTAAAAAAGAGGAGCTTTGGGGGCACCTGGGTGCCTCAATTGGTTAAGCATCTGACTTTTGGTTTCGGCTCAAGTCATGATCTCATGGGTTGTGGGATCGAGGCCTGCATCAGGCTCCATAATCAGCAGGGAATCTGCTTGAAGATTCTCTCCCTCTGCCCCTCCTCCCATTCACTTGCCCACGCACACACTCACTTGCGCACTCTATATATAAAATAAAGTTTTTTTTTAAAAAAAAAGAGAAGTTTTTGAGTTGTTATAATTTGCTGGCTCCAGAGAGCAGTGTTTTATAACCTAATTATCTTCTCTTTAAAAAAAAAAAAAAAAAAGTCACTACTCATTCATAGAAATGATGACTGGTGTCCTAAAAAAGCATTAGTAAAAAAGTCAAAGAAACCTTTCTTGTGATTTCCTCTCTTTCTTTTGCAGTCCCTCAAAATAGATTTGGTCTCATAATCTAATGACTGTTTTTAAGCCCCTTGTGAGAGGTCCACAAGGAGGCACCTTTCATTTTCGCTAGTGGAAAAAAGATTAACCAAATCTAGTTGGATAATGGTTTTCTCTGTTCTGCATTAGTACATACTTCATTAAAGCCCAACTTTCTACTTCTGACTGAATTTCTTGGGGCCTGCCATTTGTAAAGGACTGATTTTTTTTTTTTTTTAAATTTCAGGTGTATTTTTTTACAATGGGCATCCAATAAAGCAGGTAGAGATCTTGGGAACTGTAATTGGAAGGAGAGAAAAAGATGCTTTCTACAGTTATGGAGGTAAGAGCAATTGTGCCTGACACTGAGTGTATGTGGAAGCACCTCACTTAGCTGAACTTTGCATTTGAAGCAGCCCCAGCCTTTGAGAGCAACTAGGGACTGTCAGAGAGCCCATACACTTGTCCTTTATCATGGGCCCCTTGGAGCCACTGACATGGACTAAGTGTAAAATGAAGCAAAAGGTAGGAATGACACTGATGAATACTGTCAAGGGACAGCTGATGGGGAGTTAGGAGGTAGAAGAATTAAAATATGACAGTCTAGGATTTCTGGTGGACCAGGGACAGACACCTGGTACCTGAGGCGGTAACTATAAATAGCAGTGAATGGTAGCAGACGTTTATATTGATACCTTTAAAATTAAAAAGACCAGATTAGGGATCTCTGGGTGGCGCAGCGGTTTAGCGCCTGCCTTTGGCCCAGGGCGCGATCCTGGAGACACGGTATCGAGTCCCACGTCGGGCTCCCGGTGCATGGAGCCTGCTTCTCCCTCTGCCTATGTCTCTGCCTCTCTCTCTCTCTGTATGACTATCATAAAAAAAAATAAATTAAAAAAAATAAAAATAAAATAAAATAAAAAGACCAGATTAATGTTAAAGAAGACTCTTCAAGACAGGGAGGTATGAAAAATAATTGATAAGATATATATCCAGAATAGTATTTTTATTATTTTTTTATTTTTATTTATTTATTTATTTTTATGATAGAGAGAGAGAGAGGGAAAGACACAGGCGGAGGGAGAAGCAGGCTCCATGCACCAGGAGCCCGATGTGGGATTTGATCCTGGGTCTCCAGGATTGCGCCCTGGGCCAAAGGCAGGCGCCAAACCGCTGTGCCACCCAGGGATCCCCAGAATAGTATTTTTAAAAAGCTTTTTGGTACTTGGGTAAATACGCATTATCAGGAAACTTCCCTTCCCTCATCATGGTGGAAACTAAATAAAGGATTTCTACAGTTTGGACACCAGCAGTTAGTATTGTGAGTCTTGATTTTTTTTTCATTGAGTTTAATGTAAGCATTTTATTCCGTTGCCTGGTGCAGTTCTTAGAGTCTCTGCAGTTAAGAGGACAAGCTAGGTATCTTGTGGGAAGCTTAACTTTGGATTCCAAGCCTTTGCTGTAACTGACATTGTTGCTTTCTGTTGTGTTGCCTTGGATTTGTGTTCTCACTCTACTGTGGAAAGGTAGAGGCCGTTGAACTAAGGGATCAGGAACATTTCACTGGCAGTCTGTGTGTGACAGATAATGTATAGTATAGATGCAATGTCATTGCATTTCTTCAACATGTATTCATTTTCCTGAAGATGATTGTCTTGTGCTTATAAAATAACATGTGAGGGACAAGGTTGCCCACGCTGCCTTCTTTTCCTTAGCATATGTTTTTTAAAACTCTAAAATAGATCATCTTGTCAGGCATCCCCTCACTGAATCTCTTCTCTGCTTTATTTTACCAACGGTATCGGTTCTGTTTCTCTCCAGGTAATTCAATAAGTATTCAGCAGTTTCCTCTAGCATACTCAGCTGTGGGCAAGTACATTTTCTATAGTATAACAAAGTACTTCCTCTCCAAATACCAGTGATGAAGTAATAATTTCAGTTAACAAAGCACTTTTACATGTGTAATTTATAGTGTTATTCTCCCCCTAATGTTTTGAACTAGAAAGGACAGAGGTTCTTTACATTTTGTAGACAAGGAAAATAAGGCTCAATCACTTGTTCAGGGTTCCACTGATGGAGGTTTATGGTTTATAGGCCCAATCTATTTATTGATTCCATTGTGCTGTATAGTCTCCATATAACTCAGGTTTTTCTCTCCCCCATCACCTCACCACTCATCTGTCACCAGAAATCAACTTCATCTGTATGAAGGTGTTGTTTTTGTTTTTGTCTTTGCTGGAGACAGTATATTTTATTGATGGCACATAACAAGGTAGGGCTCCCCAAGCCCCCTCTTTTCAGGGGGTCTGGGATGGAAACTGTTCAGGTTAGGAGATTCTCAGTATATTGGGGGATGAGTTGGGGTAAGGATTCTGCAGCAGCTGAGGGCCTCTCTCTTTCTCTTGCTATCACTGGGGCTTGTGGTCTTCTTGGAGGCCATGTGGACTATAAGGCTCACCACCTGGTTGTTGTAGACAAATTGATTGTTGTACCAGGGAATGAGCTTGACAAAGTGGTCATTGAGGGTAATGCCAGCCCCATCATCAAAGGTGGAAAAGTAGATGTCCCTGTTAAAGTCACAGGAGACAACCTGGTCCTTAGTGTACCCCAGGATGACCTGAAAGGGACTCTCTGATGCCTCCTTCACCTTCTTGATGTCATTATATTTGGCAGCTTTCTCCAGGCAACAGGTCAGATCCACAACTGACACATTAGGGGTGGGGACACAGAAGGCCAGGCCAGTGAGCTTCCTCTTCAGCTCAGAGATAACCTTGCCTATAGCCTTGGCAGCACTAGTAGAAGGACAGATGGTGTTCTGGGCAGCCCTTCAGCTATCATGTCACAGCTTCCCAGAGGGGCTGTCTGTGGTCTTCTGGGTGGCAGTGATGGCACAGACTGTGGTCATAAGTCCCTCCACAATGCCAGAGATGAACTGTCATGGATGACCTTGGCCAGAGAGGCCAAGCAGTTGATGGTATAGGAGGCACTGCTGACAATATTGAGGGAGTTGTCCTACTTCTTCTGGCTTATGCCCATCACAAACATGGGCCCATCATTAGAAGGAGCAGAGATGGTGACCCTTTTGACCCCATGTTCCAGTTGAGCCCCAGCCTTCTCTATGGTGGTGAAGACCCCAGTGGACTTCACTCAGTACCAGCATTGCCCTATTTGATATTGGTGAGATCTCACTCCCGGAACGTGGAGATGGGTTTTCCATTGATGACAAATTTCCTGTTCCCAGCCTTGACCGTGCCATGGAATTTGCCACAGTGGAATCATATTGGGAGTATGTAGACCATGGGGTCATTGATGGTGACAGTATCTACTTTGCCAGAGTTAGAAGCAGCCCTGGTGAGCAGGAGCCCCAAACGGCCAAATCCACTTACTCTGACCTTGGCAGTCATGTCTCAGGGATGCAGCTGGCACTATACCAGAAGATGCAGCTGTCTGTCGAATAGGGAAGAGCAGAGAGACCATCTCGTTTTTGATTTTCTGTTTTTTTAGGTCACGTGAAAGAGGCTGTTTGAGGATGTTAGTCCTTGCCCTAAAACCAGGCAGGTACTGTCCCTGTGACCTCAAGGGGCTTCACTCAACCCCTTTTCCCATTATAAAAAGATCAAGGAGATCTGTTTGATTCTTCCCCAATAAATGTTCTCTTTAGGGTGGATGTTAAAAGAACAGGACACATCTGTGGGCAATGGGAAAACTAAAAGCAACTGAGGGTTGGAGTAATTGAGAGTAGGAGGAACTTTCATTCTTGTGAGGCCTATTTAGGGGAGAACTGCACCCTCTCTGCTATGTTCAGGGCCAACTGCCAGGTGGCCACTCCTTGCTGTCCTGGGTCCTGCTCCACCTGACTCACCACAGGCCTGTCCTGGGGATGTTTCCGGTTCCCACTGACTCATTGCATGGCTGAGACAAAAGGCCAGTGGCCCCAGCATTGCTGCCCGACTGGGGAGGGTGTTGTGCCACCCTGCAAGGGTGCTCCTCTTCCGGGGCACTCCAGCAGCCGGACCTTGGCTGCCAAGACACAGCACCTGCCAGGAGAGATTATAGACCAGAAAGTTTTCAAGGGTTTGGTGGCAGCGCCCTGAGCACTCAAGAGCACTTGGCAGCAGCTCAATTGCAGACTTAGAATCCTGGGAGGCCACCTTCAATGTCCTCACATTTTCTAGAACAAATGTTTATGTGCTCATATTTTTTATTTTACGTGGTAAACCAAGACCTTACATTGACCAGAGAAGTAGTGTGCCTGGAGGTGCCAGAGTTCTTTCACTCAGAATGCCCTTATTGCTTTATTTTAAAATGATTTTCATTATAAAATAAAATTTAAAACCAGAGAAAATTTTACTGAAGTACATAAAAGTCATGTGAAACCCTATCAATAAGATAAAAATAACATCAGTGTTTGGGCGAACATCCCTCTTAAAATTTTTTACTTGTTCCTAAGAATGGAAAAAAAATATGTCTTATTTCCTTGTACTATTATGCATATTTCTTTTTCTTTAATATTTCTGAAATGAGGCTTACAGTTAACATGTACATTCAGTGTGGCGTTCTTTCCCACACTCAAAAAAAAAAAAAAAACCTATTATGGTTTCAATTTCTTAAACTCATTTGTGTCAAAATATGCTATTTAACATTTTACATAAATTAGATTATATATAAAACTTCTTTTTTAAAATGACACATGGATATCTTTTAAGAGCAAGGAACCTAAGTCTTCATTATAACTTTATTCTCATATGGTATGTCATTGTAATTTATTTAATCAATTTTATGTTTATAAGCATTTAGATAATCTCCAAATAACAGTATTATAAGCAATATTGCAACAGGTAGCCTCACGTAAGATATATAAATCTATGTATTCTGTTTTTTTCCCTTAAAAATTCCATTTAAAAATTCAACACATTTCCAAATTTGCTCCTTAGAAATTTGATATGAATTTATACTCCCACTAACAGCATATGAGGGTATCAGTGTTTTTAATATTTGTCATTCTAATAGTTGAGAAATTATTTAAATTTGTTCTATACCTGGTAACAAGTGAACTTAGTATACTGACAAATGTTTATTGGCCATTTTATATCTTCTACGAATTACATTCTTTTTCTTTGCCATTTTTCTCTGGTGGTCTTGGTCTTTATTCATTTGTTGAGTGAGTGAGTGAGTTATTTATAGAATGGGGTGGGGGACAGAGAGAGAGGGAGAGAATCTCAAGCTGACTCCCCGCTGTGTGGGGACTCGGGGCTCAATCTCACAATCCTGAGATCATGACCTGAGCCAAAATCAGGAGTCGGTTGCTTAACTGACTGAGCCACCCAGGCGCCCCTGTATGAGCTCTTTAATATATTAAGACGCTAGCTCTATCATTTGGAAAATTGCAGTATGGTATTAATTTTTAGTTGGTCATCTATATCAGACTTTATTTTTTAAGATTTTATTTATTTATTCATGAGAGACACACACAGAGAGAGAGAGAGAGAGAGAAAGAGAGAGAGAAAGAGAAAGAGAGAGGCAGACACAGGTAGAGGGAGAAGCAGGCTCCATGCAGGGAGCCTGATGTGGGACTTGATCCCGGGTCTCCAGGATCAGGCCCTGGGCTGAAGGTGGCGCTAAACTGCTGAGCCCCCTATATCAGACTTTTAAAAACGAGTTCTGATTTTCAGATCTGCTTAAAGAAGTCTCCCCCACACCAGCGATAAGCACAAGTTTCAAAAGTATTTACCCATATTTTCTTCTCATCCTTTTGAGTTTACCTGTTTTACATTCAATAAAATCCATCTAGGATTTATTTATTTATTTTATTTTATTTTATTATTTTTTTAATAATAAATTTATTTTTTATTGGTGTTCAATTTGCCAACATATAGAATAACACCCAGTGCTCTTCCCGTCAAGTGCCCCCCTCAGTGCCCATCACCCATTCACCCCCACCCTCCTGCCCTCCTCCCCTTCCACCACCCCTAGTTCGTTTCCCAGAGTTAAGAGTCCTTATGTTCTGTCTCCCTTTCTGATATTTCCTACCCATTTCTTCTCCCTTCCCTTCTATTCCCTTTCACTATTATTTATATTCCCCAAATGAATGAGACCATATAATGTTTGTCCTTCTCCGATTGACTCATTTCACTCAGCATAATACCCTCCAGTTCCATCCACGTTGAAGCAAATGGTGGGTATTTGTCGTTTCTAATGGCTGAGGAATATTCCATTGTATACATAAACCACATCTTCTTTATCCATTCATCTTTCAGTGGACACCGAGGCTCCTTCCACAGTTTGGCTATTGTGGACATTGCTGCTAGAAACATCGGGGTGCAGGTGTCCCGGCGTTTCATTGCATCTGAATCTTTGGGGTAAATCCCCAGCAGTGCAATTGCTGGGTCGTAGGGCAGGTCTATTTTAAACTCCTTGAGGAACCTCCACATAGTTTTCCAGAGTGGCTGCACCAGTTCACATTCCCACCAACATCCTCTCCAACATTTGTGTTTTCCTGCCTTGTTAATTTTCCTCACTGGTGTGAGATGGTATCTCATTGTGGTTTTGATTTGTATTTCCCTGATGGCAAGTGATGCAGAGCATTTTCTCATGTGCTTGTTGGCCATGTCTATATCTTCCTCTGTGAGATTTCTGTTCATGTCTTTTGCCCATTTCATGATTGGATTGTTTCTTTGCTGTTGAATTTAATAAGTTCTTTATAGATCTTGGATACTAGCCCTTTATCTGATACGTCATTTGCAAGTATCTTCTCCCATTCTGTAGGTTTCTTTTAGTTTTGTTGACTGTATCCTTTGCTGTGCAAAAGCTTCTTATCTTGATGAAGTCCCAATAGTTCATTTTTGCTTTTGTTTCTCTTGCCTTCATGGATGTATCTTGCAAGAAGTTACTGTGGCCAAGTTCAAAAAGGGTGTTGCCTGTGTTCTCCTCTAGGATTTTGATGGAATCTTGTCTCACATTTAGATCTTTCATCCATTTTGAGTTTCTTTGTGTATGGTGTAAGATAATGGTCCAGTTTCATTCTTCTGCATGTGGATATCCAATTTTCCCAGCACCATTTATTGAAGAGACCATTTATTGAAGGACAGTCTTTCCTCCTTTGTCGAATATTAGTTGACCATAAAGTTGAGGGTCCACTTCTGGTTTCTCTATTCTGTTCCATTGATCTATGTGTCTGTTTTTGTGCCAGTACCACACTGTCTTTTAGTATAAGAAGTATTCTTCTTGGCTTCTGCTTTCAACACAGGTTTAAACCAGCAGTAAAAAAAAAAAAAAAATTGCCCTATATTCTATTATTATGTGTGCATTTATAGCAGTCTGATGATGATTTTTTTAAAAAACCATTAAGCCCACTGATCTCTTTTTTGAGTTTCTCAGAAATTAGACAAAGAGAAAAGACCTCTCATCCTATAGCAAACATCTTTAATTCCTCTGCAGTTATAAATCCAAGTGCAATGGGAATTCTTTGTGTGTGTGTGTGTAGTTTTTTGCACTAGGAATAAAATAAGCCAAAATTATTTATGTGAGCAAGTTATTATTTTCCATTATGAAAATAAAACTTTGCCCTTCTGCAGTATACTTGGCTTTCCTTACATCTCTTGCAGTGCTGGGGCCTGGGCAGAAGCTCATTCACAAACAGAAGTGCGGATCAGGAAGTTTGGGATGCTTTATCTTGGAAAGTCATTGAGCTGGTAAAGGAGCGGATGGTGACAGAAAGTTGCCTGCCCTCTGAGTGCCTTTCACCACAGACCCTGTTGATGAGCTCTTGTTTCAGGGTGGGAAAGCCAGGCTGATTTTGTTTCTTAGCATTCGCTGAGATTTTTGTACTTAACTTCCTGAAACACACCGTTTTTAGGAGAGGCACAGACAGGAATCATCAGTACCCGAGCCGGGCTACATGAATGTTGACTTCCTTCTTTTAGGCTTGAATATTACACTGACCTGTGCAGACAAGCAGTTCCCATTGGAGTACTGGGAGAGGTTACTTCTAAAATTAGGATAGTTTTATAAGGGCTTTGCCATCCACGCTGTTGAAAAATGTCATTTTTGGGTATGGCTGAATGCAATGACAATGTGCTAATTCACTAGCAACACCCAAATCTCTCTTCTATCCTTTTATGCTTCTCTTGCAGTGGATGACAGCACTGGAGTTATAAATTGCATCTGCTGGAAAAAGTCGAACAATATCGAGTCTTCATCAGGTACTTTTATTTGACACACTCCTTTACTTTTCAGCTAACTAGTGGCTTTTCCTCAAGGTGGCTCATCAAAACAGCTGTAAAGCAAATCTTCATATTTGTCTACTGGTGAATTCTGTTGATCAATTTGAAGTGCTATACCCAAAGCTCTGGCTCCTCTGCAGACTGATGTCAGAGAAAAGCTAGTTGTGTTTCTCCTCTCTCTTTGGTGCTCACTTCTCCCAAAGCCTGCAGGAGTATGACTAGGTTGAGGAGAGTTTGAGCATTTTACCTTTACTGTGGTAGTTATTACAGAAGTCAAGATGTGATAGCCTAATTGTTGGTCAGGTCAGAATCCCCTTGATCCAGGCCTATCCCTTGACCAAAGAAGGGTTTGGAGACTTCCTCTTACATGATTGCCACTAGTGTCTGTGCTACCAGGATTCAGACTTTCTGAAATCTCAAATACACCAGGAATTCTAAGGCTGATGAGATGGTAAGATAGGATTCCTTTGAAGTTAGCCATTGAATAATATAAACTGAGAAGAAACTTTAAAATTGTGTTTTGAACACATTGGCTATAATTGAAACAGCATTTGGAACTCCTTGAGTATATTTTAATAATTCTTAGGTAGTTTTTTAAGTTAAGTTTACAATAAAAAAAAATATTGAGCAGTATTGGTCATTTTTGGCTCTAGAGAAGCTATAGCAACTGGGACCTTGTCTTTCTGTTTTACAACTTACACAGCATAGTGCCATGCACAATGGGGTCATTCATTAAATATTGTCTTCTGTAATATCTAACATCTAGCATCTGTCTCCTTGGTGATACATGGTATCTTTCCTCTTTGCCATTAACCTGCCAGAAGAATCTCAGCTTCCTACTTGGACTATCCTGATCAATGGAATGCTCCTTTGCTTAATTTTCTGAGGCATTTACATTTAGAATCTGGCCATCAGTTGTATATAACTTCAGTATTCCATTTCTTAATTTGGGAATATCTTAGTCATTGGCACTGCTTTGTTCAGGGTGCTTTGTAGATTAAAAAAAAATTAAGAGAGACAACAGGTTTTTTTATGCAGCTGTCTCTAGAAGCAAGAATAATAAACCTGTAAGACAATCAGATATTTGAATTTTCACATATGTCTAGAGTATTAAAATCATTTGCAGATTTATCGTTTTTGTGTTGTCAAAACCTTTAATCAGAGAGTATTGTTTACATATATACTTGTTTCAGATCATGGAGCAGCAAACTTTCTGAACAGGGTTGGATAGTAAATGTTTTCTACTTTGTGGGCCATATGATCTGAACCACAGCTGCTCAACACGGGCATATTAACACAGAAGCAGTCATACACGGTACATACATGAATGGCATGGTTGAGTTCCAATAAAATTTTACAAAAACAGGTTGTTGGAAGATTTGGTCCATGGGCTGTAGCTTGCAGATTCCTGTTTTAGACATTGTTTTAATTTTCAAAATCAAAATCAGAATGATATTAGGAATATTATATAACTCTTATACTTAGTAATTTTTTGGATAAAATGGCTACTAATACTGAGAGTGAGATTTTTAAAATTCGTGTAAATAGATGAATAGATGAGCAGTCACAGTAGGTAGCCTTAATTGGAAATTGCTTTGAGAATAAAAAGAGAGGGTAACAGTACAAGGAAAAAGCCCGAAAATGATTCTCGTCATGTTATATATGAAGTGATATGTTAAAATTATTCCCAACTAGCCCATTCTCTCCTTTTCATTTAATTGCCCTCAGTTTAAAAGCTTTGCACTGGAACGTGGCCAATGAAGACTAATTTTTTTTTAATCAAAATTTAGTCTGAGTCAAAATCATGTTCCAGTCCGTTAAGGTATATAAGAAAATGCTATTAACTCCTATAAGTGTCATATTGAGTATACCATTTGGACTAGCTTAGGAGAAAAGTTAAGAAAGCTTGGCCTTTGATACTAGAATTTTAGAGGGCCTTTATCTTCCAGGGTGGAATAGGCTACTTAAGATGAAATCCTGTCAGGCTCCAGCCACTCATTATAGTCCCTAAATTACAGCTCGAGCCATTCTTTCAGCAGCTTGGCTCACCCTTGAAATGAAAGCTGGGCCTCATTCTCACACCAGGCCCCAGTCTGATCATTTCAGCGGTGCTATAGGAAGCATTTATCATTACGTGTTTTATTTTACTTTTTTTTATTTTTATTTTTTTAAAGATTTTATTTATTCATTCGAGACACACGGGGTGGGGGGGAGGGGAGAGAGGCAGAGGGAGAAGCAGGCCCCATGCAGGGAGCCCGACGTGGGACTCTATCCTGGGTCTCCAGGATCACACCCCAGGCTGCAGGCGGCGGTAAACCGCTGCGCCACCGGGGCTGCCCTCATTACATGTTTTAAATTCACCCAAAGTACAAGAGGGCTTGAGGGCATAGGAACACAGATGGAATAACCTTTTAAAAAGTAATACTTGGGTATTTTCTGAAGAAACCTGGTAAGCTGAGTAACATAAATGCTGATGGTGTCTAGATTCCTGGGTGTTGGTTACTGGGTACACAGAATGCTCCATGTTCCCCAGGTTGGTGTTTCCCTTGATAGAGTAGATGTGGTGAAAGAAAAGTAATGCCTTTGCACTTTATAAAGCCACAGTCATCTAAGAGATTAGATTAAAAAGCAGAAAATGTGATCAATAGGCTAATAGATTTGTTCATTCATTATAGGAACGCTAGCATAAGACAAACCAGAAATAAAACAACAGTAGGAAATAAATCAGCATTTAACAAATATTGTTGGTTCAGGTAGATAAAGATATTTTTAAAAGAGGTAACTGTGATCCCTGTCTTCTAGCTTACGTGACGTAACCCAAAGATGGAGTTGTATATTTACACAGTAAATAAGGAGATTTTGTTTTGTTTTTTTTTTATAATTCAGTAACATTTACATAAAACAATTTTCAAAGGATACATTTAAAAACCATCTAGATACTGATTTTATTGCATTACAAAAAATTGAGAGGCACAATTTAGTATTTAAATAAACTGTGAGGGGTGGAGGCGGGGCTTAAGATTGCTACCGTGGTGTTCCTTAGTCACTTAAAGGCTCTGGGAACAAGAGTCTTTAATGAAGCAGTAGTGCACTTCATTTAGTAGGAATAAATCACGTAAAATACATACTTTTATATCAATCCCAGATCCCAGGATCACACTCTGAGTCAAAGGCAGATGCTCAACTGCTAAGCTACCCAGGCGTCCTCTGTCTGGTAGTTTAAAAGCAAAAATAAAACGTCATGGAATTATTAGGTATTTTTTAGGGTGCTAAACATCCAAGTGACCAGAGGCAGTATAGGTGCTACAAGCATGCACACACTGCTGGCAACACCTTGTAAAAAAAGAATGGTTGGGTGGGGTTTTTTTCTGGCAAACATTCTGACAATATGTAATGAACTGTAAACGTGTTTTTACTTTTCTATCCAGCAATTCCCAATGAAAGACTCCCCCTAAGAAAACAATAATTTTATTTAGAGGGCATAATTATTCACTTTTACAAATAGCTGACATTTATGGAACATTTCCTGCGGATCTTGACATCGTGCCATGCTTGTGATTTAAGGGTTAACTTAGATCTTGGGCAACCACTCTGTGTGTGAGGTGGACTGTCTTGTTACCCCCATTTCATAGCTGAAGAAGCCCTGGCACAGTGAGGTTAAACAGGCTGCCCAAGTTCATGTAGTTAATAGGAGGTGAGTGGAGATTGCAGCCAGGTCTGTCTGACTCCATTACCCAAGTGTAGACCACTAAGCCCCATCCAGCGCAGGTGATTAAAGCCAAAAAAAATTACAAGAAGGGGGGAGAGTGGAATATTTAATGAGACCAGCTAAACAAACTGTCTCATATTGACATGAATGCTCCATGATTATTTAAAATGCTCAAGTTGTATGAATTCTTTGGATACATGTGTGTATGTGAGCTTGGGCCAGACAGAAAATCAGAATGTAGAATTGTTCACACACACTAGCTGTAACTGGAAAATATGTGTACACTCATGGGGCAGGCAGCAGAGAATAAAGAATAAGCCAGAAAGCACTGAAGTCAGAGATTGCTCGGGTTCAGACTCCAGCTTTGTTACTAACTGGTTGTTTTACTTTGGGCAGGTTGCTTGACCTCTCTGTGATTCAGTAACCTCCTCTGTAAAATGGGGCTAATAATAAATAGGTATACTTGTGAGGGTTAGATGCTCTAATACATTGTAGAGTCCTAGAACAGCACCTATAATATCTAATAATTGAGGCTGTGCTTATTAAGTATTTAATACAATTTGAAATTAAACTTAAGTGATGGAAATTATTTTTTTTCAAAGGTTTTATTTTTATTTATTTGACAGAGCACAAGCAGGAGGAGCAGCAGGCAGAGGGAGAGGGAGAAGCAGGTTCCCCGATGAGCAGGAGCCCAACGCGGGGCTCAATCCTAGGACCCTGGGATCGTGACCTGAGCTGAAGGCAGGCGCTTGACTGAGCCACCCAGGCACACTGAAATTATTTAGAGTCAAATGTGCATTGGGTTATTTTCACCATGAAGTTGCTTAAGCTTATAGTTTTAAGTGATATGACAGTGTGTGTGTATGAGAGAGAGAGAGAGAGAAATTACCTCAGTTACCCAACAAAGATGAAAGGTGAGAGATTAGGGTGTTGAGTACCTAGGTGGAAGATCAGCCTAAGGCACTTCCCCATAAACAGAACTGCATAAGTAGATCTGGGTCCCCTTTTGTCCTATGCCAGACTTGTCTTCCTGCAAGGACACTTTGAAGGGTTGTTTAGAGCTGTTGCTACCAAACCCAGCTGAACTCATACATAATTCAGCTCAGGACCACGTAGAGCCCTTTGAATGCACTGGTAATGCAAGAGCAGGAGAGGAAATGTTGGAGCCATGCCAGAACTTTCTCACTTGGATTGCCAGGCCTCCTAGACTCTGTTCCCTTCACTCTACTTTTGAATAATTACAGCTTATGCCTTCTATTCAGAGGATTTCAGAAGGTTGTGCAGATTGTGTACAGTAGAGCAACTAATCAGAAGTAGAATGAGTAGATGTCTTTTGTTGGTCTCACCCCAAAACTATCTCACAAATGTGGTGGGGTGATTGTGTTATGCATTGTCTCTTTTCTTTTGGCCCTAGCAACTACAGCTGCTCCAACTGCAGGGGAGCTGAGCTTAACCTCACAGCTTAAGAAGCTCCAAGAGACCATTGAGCAGAAGACAAAGATAGAAATTGGGGACATTATCCAAATCAGAGGTTATGTCCACACATATAGAGAAGAACGAGAGATTCGTGTCACTACTTTCTGTAAGCACAAGTTATCTCTGCCAAAACTGGTGGTTATTCTGGGTGTGTGTCCAATGAACTCTGGATTAGCTAAAAGTCAAACTGCTAAAAAGTTCAGATAAAAAGATGCAACTCTTTACTGGAGAAAATTTTATTTCTTAACATGCTTTCTTAACTATTTTGAAGAGGGTAACTAGAAATTGGGGAAGAAAGCAAATGATTTATTATATCAGGCAAATTTATTTGGGTAACATCAATGTTAAAAGTACTTTGAAATTCTAAGTGTCAATCCATTTAGGGCAGAGTATATTCATATTCTTTAAAATGATGGAGATTTCTTGAGCACCACTGAGTCGTTAACTTTGAAGGAAAACAGCTTATTGGAAATGTGATAGTCCCACATCCCCTGAGTGATACGCTTTGCAGTGCTCTGGCTGATTTTGGTTGGAAATCCCATGGATGGCCCCTGTTGTTTGCCATTGTAACAGATAAGTGAATAAGCAAATGTGCTTTCCCTGGTTCCAGTCTCTTCCTGGACAAACCTGTGATGCTTAGGGCATTTTATCCCCTCTCAGAGGATGACTGGGAACCATTTAGTGCCTCTGGATGCATGACTCTGGGCACCCATAGGGAAAGAGACCCACTGGGTGCCTAGCAGCAATTTGGACATGGGAAAGAACTGATCTCATTGTAATTTCTGTGGCATATTTTCCCCATGGCTTGTTAGATAAAGTGGATGATCCAGTGTGCAACATTCAAATTGCAAGGATGCTTGAGCTGCCCAGTATCTACAGGAAAGTTTATGACCAGCCTTTCCGCATCCCAGCCCTAGAGCAAGAAAGGTAAGTTGTGGCCTCTGACTGTGAAAGATGTGATGATGGCAGTAAGGCCAGGCAGCAGGAGCCCAGATGCTGAGATGGGCCAGGGTTCAAATCCATTCACTGAGCAGCTCTGGGCAAGCCCGTTTATTCCCTCTATGCCTTAGTTTTTATACCTGCAACATAAAGATAAAAGTAGTGCAGATATTCTCAGGATCTTGTGAGGAAAATGAATGTGTGATTGGAGTCCCTGAAAGAGTGCAGGGAGCAGAGAGAATATATTTGAAGAAATAAGGGATGAAGTTTTTCCAGGTTTGCTGAAAACTATAAATGCGCAGATTCAAGAAGCTCAATGAGCCCCAAGGCAAGAAACCGAAAGAAAGCTGCCATGAAACATCACAATCAAAATACTATACTGTGACACATTATAACAAAAAACCATAAAAAATGAAATCCATCATTCCCAACCAGGGATGATTTTACTCTTGGGGGCAGTGGTGGAAACAGGGAGTAAGAATATATGTGTGTTCATTAGTGTATATGTCAAAGGACTCAGGGGAGCCAGAAAACCAGCAATGGCCGCTAAGGGTGGGAACTAAGAGGATAGAAAGGAGACTTCACTCTGGACCCTTTAATTTTTTTTTTAAAGATTTTAATTGAGAGAGAAAGAGTGCGTGCAAGTGGAGGGTGGGGAGGGGCTGAGGGAGAGGGAGAGAGAATCTGAACCAGACTCTGTGCTGAGCACAGAGTCCAACTCAGGGCTCCATCTCACAACTGTGAGATCATGACCTGAGCCAGACAGCAAGTGTTGGACACTTAACTGACTGAGCCACCCGGGTGCCCACTTTAATTTTTCTAATATATATATAATGTTTAAAAAACTCCAAACTGAGCACCCAGATGGCTCAGTCAGTTAAACGTCTGCCTTCAGCTTAGGTCATGATCCTGGGGTCCTGGGATCTAGCCTCGCATTGGCTTCTCTGTTCCGTGGAGAGCCGCCTTGTCCCTCTCCCTCTGCCACTTCCCCCCCCCCCCCCGCCCGCTTATGCATGCTCCCTCTCTGTCAAATAAAAAAAGAAAACTTAAAAACAAACAAAAAAAAACGCCCAAACTGTGGACCCATAGAAAGTAAAAAGTGGAAGTTCCCCATTTTCCTGTCTCCTGCCTCAATACCATTCCCCAGAGGTTCCCACCATTCATAGGTTGATATGTATTCTTTTAGACATTTTTCTTCTCTGCATATACGAGCATAAATATTCACCCATGTATTTTGTGGGTTGTCATTTCCTTTTTAATAATGGGAACTTAACCTTATATGCTATTCTGCAACTTGACATTTTTTTCAAAATCTTTAATAAATATTATAGCTCCTGTAGTCCTGCCTCATCCTTTTAAATGACCACTCAGTGCTCATTGTATGAATTGCCCTTTATGTCAAAAACAAGCATTGTTATTGAACAGACCAATTACAAATAATGAATTTGAATCAGTAATCAAAACACTCCCAACAAACAAAAGTCTAGGACCAGATGGCTTCACAGGTGAATCCTACCAAACAGTTAAAAAAAAAAAAAAAAAGAGTTAATGCCTATGCCTAGTCTCCTCAAACTATTACAGAAAATGGTACTACAAAAAAAAGCCAACTATGGACCCATATCCCTGATAAACATGGATGCAAAAATCCTCAACAAAGTGCTAGCAAACTGCATTCAACAATACATTAAAAGGATCCTTCACCGTGATCACATGGGATTTATTTTGGGAATGCAGGGATGGTTTGATAGTCACAAATCAATCAGCATGAGGCAACACATTAACTAAACAAAGGATGAAAGTCATATGATCATCTCAATAGATGCAGAAAAGACATTTGAACATCTGTTCAAAATTGAACATCTGTTCATGATAAAAACTCTCAACAAAATGGGCTTAGAGGGAGCATAGCATAATAAAGGCCTTATATGAGAAACCAACAGCTAACATCATACTAGCTAGTAGAAAACAGAGCTTCTCCTCTAAGAGCAGAAACAAGACAAATCCAATGTTGCCACTTTTATTCAACATAGTACTAGAAGTCCTAGCCACAGCAGTCAGACAAAAAGAAATAAAAGACATCCAGATTGGTTAAGAGAAAATTAAATTGTCACTATTTGCAGATGACATGATACTTTAGAAAATCCAAAAGACCACACCAAAACAAACTATTAAAACTGACAAATGAATTCAGTAGAGTTGTAGGATACAAAGTTAATACACAGAAATTGGTTGCATTCCTATACACTAGTAACAAAGTGGCAGGAAGAAAAATTAAAATAATTCCATTTACAACTACACCAAAAAGAACAAATTACCTAGGAAAAAACTTAACCAAGGAGGTGATAGACCTGTACTCTGAAATCTATAAAACATTGATGAAAAGAGTTGAAGGTGACACAAATAGATATTTCATGCTCTTGGATTGGAAGAATTAATATTGTTAAAATGTCCATACCACCCAAAGCAATATATGGATTCATTGCAATCCCTATCAAAATATCAATAACATTTTTCAAAGAACCAGAATTCTAACTAGAATAAGTAAGTCCTAGGGGTAAAAGATACAGCATAGGGAATATAGTCAATGATATTGTAATAATAGCACTGTATGATGATAGATGGTAGCAACACTTGTGAATGTAGCGTAGAATAGACTCGTCAACTGCTGTGTTGTATACCTTAAATTAATTTAAAATTGGAAGTCAGCTATACTTCAATCAATCAAACATCAAAATAGTGTCACATTTCCCAGCTAAGTTTCTGTTTTATGCACAGCAAAAAGAAACAAAGGTGATAGTTTTCTGCAGGGCTTTTAAAAACTTTCCCCCAGCAGCGATCCAGGTGCCCTGGACCTTGCCAATCTCACGTGTTTGCTGAGTGAAAGAGCCAAAGAATTCCTCATGGAGAACAAAGTGCAAACCTTTTACCAGCAGGAATTGGAAATTGTGGAATCTCTGCTATCCCTTGCCAATCAGCCTGTGATTCACGGCACCTCCTCTGAGCAGGTAAGTGAAGCATGCCCATGTGAAGAATTCAGGCCCCCTGTCCCATATCTACAGCTCAAGGGTGTGGGTGGTGAACATGACTGTGGCACGAGCACTCAGAGGGTAGACCCAGGGATGAGGTTCTGGTTCTTTTCCATGTTTGTATTCTGGAAAGGTCATTAAGAATCTGAAATGAAAATGTACCTGTCCTTTTGCCCTCTTCACTTAATCTCAGTAAACTTAATCTTTGGGTAGGGGAAAAAACTAGTGTAAGGTCCATACTACTTCTTAATATTCACTGAGATGGGTACTTAATCTCAGCGGGAGCCAAACGAGGAGGAAATAAATGAGAAGAGATCATTATCTCTCCAAGATTATTTATTGCTCAGCAAGGTGATTCTTGAACCAAAGTTTTTAATGACTTGCTCTCTCTTCGTCAAAATTAGGTACCTTATTAGGAGTTTAAATAAAGACCAAGTTATATTCAGTCTAGTTTATAAGTGAACATTTCTAGGAATAATCAAGTAATGTCTCACTCGCCTGGGAGAGAGCTGTCTCTTTACAGGTGAATCTAAGTTGTTTGGTGTTTACTTATTCACTTGGAATTAAGAGTTATTTGAAACTTAGGTTTTAAGCTTTCACTTTCATTGCAATTCTCAGGGTTTTTTGTTGTGACACCATTTATTTTTATTTTCTCTATTCCACTGGGGAATGATCTCTGCTGAGATGTCACCTTCTAGCCCTCCCCAACTATTTGCTCTGAGAGTCACCTGCTTCCTCACTATGTTATCACCCTGTTTTCATATCTCAGGATATCACTGGTATTTACTTATTTGTCTGCCTATTCCTCTGCCACAATTTAAATTTTACAAGAGCAGAGGTCTTCTTTGCCTTGTTCTTTGCTCTCTAGAACCATGTTCTAGAATGGGCCTGCCATAAACTCAGTTCTTGATGATTATTTGTTAGTTGAAGGAGTGAACAGTTTTAAAAAATGTCAATAGTCCCCAACAGTATCTGGTTAAGAGTAAGTTTCCTTCCCATCCTCCCTCCTAACCACTTCCCCCCCCCAGAAACAAGGACCATTACCAGTCTTAGGAATATCCTTCCAGAGAGAGTCTACATTTATAAACCAGGAGTAGTTCTGTCCTCTTTTCTCACACAAATGGTAGCATGCTAAACTCTAATCTGTACCTAGCTTTTCATGGAACGGCATGTCTTAGAGACCCTTTCCTAGCCGTACACATAGATTTGCCACTATAATAATCTTTGGTTACATGAAGCAGTCTCTCCATTCTGGACTGTTGAGAAGTTTTCCGATCTTTTGTCATTACCAACAGGGCTGCCGTGACTACTCTCGTTAGGTAACATAAGTTATTCCTCGTGATTCTGGGGGCACAGATACCAGGTCCTCATCCTGACCTCCTAGGCTACTACCACTGCTTCTCAGTTTCGTTCACGAACCTAATTATCTCCTCCTGGCACCAGGCTATGTGCACAGTGACCCGCGATGTCATTCGCAGCAACGAGGGATAGCATTTCAGGAGACACTTGTGGGGAGATGGCTGGGCCAGCCTCTCCCTTCTGTGCCCTGGGGCTTCCAGGCAGTTGGGGCTCTCCAACTGTCTGCTGTCCACAAGATCAGCCTTGCCATTTAGTCGGTTAGAGGCGGCTCACCGCCAAGTTAGCCTCCTAGCACTTCTGACCACTCTGTTGGCATGTTTGGAAGGAAACTGAAGCTTAGCAAAGACCACATTCTTCCTGTGAACCCACTCTTCTGTGGGAGCCGCAATTAAGGAGAAAGACTTGAGGATTCTCTGAAGTCTCCTCCATTCAGAACGACCTTGGGGAACTTTGGCATGGTATCTTTGAGAATGCTTAGAGCAGAAACTTGTGTCTGCCCAGTCCTGTATGTTTAAAAAGAAATGAATGTGGCACTCTGTTTTGTCTTTGGAAACTCTTTTTTCCAATCAATTATGAATTATTCCCTCACATGACTCTGGCTGGGGAGGTCAGTGTCATTGAGTTGAATTCTGCCTGGGAGACTAAGGATGCTTTACAATGATGGTGAAACCCTAGATCCTTTGGCACTTTCTGTTGTCATACAGATGAAAGCTTTACAAAAAAATCATTGTGGGAGTGTTATAGTTTGGAGGCCAGGGGAGGGAGGGTTTGAATGTTCCCCATCCCCCCGCTTTTTTTTTTTTTTCCGTAGTGGCCCTTCTTATCAAATCCAGAAACGTGATAAGCAGACCTTGCAAAACCATTGTTTCTTTGACAGCTGGGTAAATGTAGAGTTTGTTTGAGAATGAAGACTATATATATATTTCAGATCCACCCAGTTCCTGACCTGCAGCTAGGAGAGGCCTGCTCAGGCTCAGCATATTCAGCCAGTCTCTGTTTCTGTCTCTGTGTAGTTTCGGTTTCCTGAATCGTATGAGCCTTGTCTTTAGAAAAAGACAAGAAAGACACAAATCCCAGGCCAGGCTGAGCTATGGGCCAGGAGAGATGATTGGAGGCCTTCCCCCTGAGACTGGATCTTCATAACCAGGAGGGAGATATGCTCTGAGGTCAACCGAGGCAAATGTTTTTGGAAAGGAAGTTCCACATGCTGTTTATATTCACAGAGCCTTTCTGTTGGGCCCTTCTTGTTCACAGCTGAAGCTGTGCTTTTAATCTCACAGACCTAGCACAGTCTTTCTGCTGCCTGAGCTTTCTGAAATCTGGGAGGAGGAGCTGAGCTTTTTGTGTGGTCTGGGGATAATCACGAATCATTTCTAAGGTGGCAGTAATCATGCAACAATCATTTTTAGTCTCCAGTTTATTTCTGTCTTGGTAAGAGCTGTAATAAACTCAACCCTTAGAATCCTGATAGTAAATTGACCAAAGAAGATGAATTTCCTTAGAATTATGAAGAGTAAGTGTCTGTAACAGTTTCATGGGAGATTCTATTTTGGGTTGATTGTACTTCCCTTAAGTAAATACAGCTTTCCCTGAAGCCCCCCAGAATAAAAGGATGTGTGACAGAATTGCTAAGTGAGTTGTTTATTCTAAACACACTTACGTAGCTTTTCTGCCTGTGGGAGTCATCGCATAGTTCTTGGCCTTATTCTGCCTTCAGAGAACGGGTGCTGTCATAACTTGGAATGTTTGTCTGTTTTAGGCCCTAATCTCCTAATGACCAGGTGCTCCAGCTTGTTGACTATTAATTTAATTGAGAGTGTTCTCTTCAGTCCAGGGGAGCATGTTTGTGAAACATCACTAGGATCCATGAGATTAAAACAACACCTCTTTGGAAGGTCTCTTCTAGAAAGAGAGGGTTTCTCTAGGGATGCAGTTGTCAACACTTGCGGCCATTTGGGGGTTTCTTTCCTTTCCCTGTCTCTTGCAGGAAAGGTCATTAGCAAATCACAAGCAAATTCTTTCAGCATCTGTGGGTACTGCCCCCAACAGCCTTCATCAGCATTCTTCATTAGGGGCAGGACTTTGCCTTCAAATGCTCCTTTAGAAGCTTTTGCCTTGTTTCTTTGGTGCTCTCATCTTGTAACTATCTTGACAGATTTCTGTCACATTAAAAGTGGATCTGTACCTTGAAGGACAGTTGTTCACCACTTTGCTTCAGGAATGGACTGAAAGCCCCCAGTGGAATCATAAAAAGGATACCACCTCTATAATGGGGTATTTATTTCCCATTCATTACACAAATGTCTTATCAGTTACCCTCGGTGTGTGAGGGAGGAGATGGCCAAATAGAAATCAAGTCCCCCACTCAGCAAACTTAAAGTTTAGTTAACCTTGGCGAGACGTAGCTGAAGGCCTCGCTTCCTCTGGGACAAGCCTAGCTTCCTCTGGGACAAGAAATAGGATGAACTGTTTACTCTGGGTAAACCTGTGTCTTAGAGAAATATTGAAATTGAGGAAATAGAAAACTGATAGCCACAGAGGTTCCTTCCATGCAGTCTGGGACCCCCTCTGTTTTTAGCCCCATGACCCACCTTGGACAGACAGGTCTCCACATGGCTATTTACCTACATTTTCCACCATTTAAAATAAGGAGATGACATAATATTCTCTATGTCCTAGAGTCCCCAACTTACGTCAATAGTGTAAAATTCTCTGAAGTCCTTAGGAAGAGATTAGATTATAGCCATAATTTCAATGAAAAAAACTGAGCTGATACATGCATACAGTGATCTGGCTCTGAATTTTAAAAAAAATTAAAAATTGGGAATAGAAGTAATTTTAAATGAGTCGACATATAAACTACATACTCAGATTCAAAGATTATCTTCTTGATTTTCCATTTCATATTATAAAGTTGAACAAATCACAACTAAGGTAGAGAACAGTTGTCAAGCATGATCCTATTGAGCAAACTTCCCAGGCCTCCTTAAATACTATTCTGTGTTAGGCCACACACCTGGATCTTTTTGACTCAGCAGATAAAAAGCCTGTTGGGTGAATTCATAAACCAGTTGGTCCAGGGAGTTACTCTGAGATGTAGTAAGATGGGACTTAACTTCTTTTCTTTTTCCTCTTCCTACAGGATTCTAAGAATGACACCACTTCCAAGGCAATTCATAGTATATTTAAGAATGCAATACAGCTGCTGCAGGAAAAAGGATTTGTTTTCCAGAAAGATCATGGTTTTGATAAGCTATATTATGTAAGAGACCTGCAACTTTATTTTTTTTCCTTGATACTTTGATCACAACTATATTCATTCCCTAGGAATACCTATTTACTGTTTTTAAAAATCATTAAGGAGGTTCATAAGATAAGGAGTGAAAGCCCATATCTTTTCCATGTCATTTTTTTTTTTTAAGATTTTATTTATGTATTTTAGAGAGCGCACATGGGGAGGGGTAGAGGGGTGGGAGAAAGAATCTGAAACAAGCTCTGCACTGAGCTTGGAGCCCAATGTGGGGCTCGATCCCACAACCAGGAGATCATGACCTGAGCCCAAACCAAAAGTCGGACACTTAATGCCTTGAGCCACCCAGGCACCCTCCCTACATGATGCCATTTTTTTTCATGGTGCCATTTTTAACAGTATGTCCTAGACACTTAACCTGTGCATTTGCCAAAATGTACACATTCAGATGCTTCTGTGGCCTTTTTGTTGTCCCTCTAAAATGTGATTATCCTACAAATCAGGACTTCTCAACCTTAACACTGTTTGGGCCAGATGGTTCTTTGTTGTGAATGGCTTTCCTTTGCATTGTAGGATGTTTAACAGCATCCCTGGCCTTCATTAACTAGATAGAGGTAGCAGCCCCTGACTTGTGACAACCAAAAATGTCTCAGGACATCGACAGGTGTCCCCTGGGACAGTGGAGAATCTGTAAATAATGCCTGGCAGTTTTGGGGCGGGGTACCAAAATAGCGCATCACAGGCATCTTTCCATGTTAGTACTTTAAATTTTCCTCAATCTTTTTGACCTCACATGGTACTCCATATCATGGGTACTTGTTGTACACTTTTAACCACTTCTTTCTGGTCGACATTGGGGTTGGTTCTGTCTTTTGCTCTCACAGATAGTGTTGCTTTGGTATTTTTGTGAATTCATGTAAGCATTTCTCTTTTTATGATTGACTCTTAAAAAAGGAATTGTTGGAGCAAAGGGCATGTACTTTTAAGCATTTGGCCAACACAGAGTGATTGACCTCCCAAAGTGCTACTAGTTTACATTCCCACCAGGGGTGCAAGTGCTTGCTTGCCTCAGACTAAAGGTTCACCTCTCACAGCCTACCTTTAGTAGTTGGAGGAGCCAACTTTTCAGTGAAAACGGGCTTCCTCATGACATTGGTAGTGTGCCTTCAGTCATGAGTGATTGTCCTGGAGGCAGATCAAAGTCCTGAGGAATCCCAGAAGTCTTGGTATTTACAGACATTATTCTTGAGGGGAAGCCTTCCTGAATAGGACATTTTCTTAATGTTGATTTACACTAGTGATTCCCTATTTCAGAGTTTTTTTAAGTTAAGATGTGTTGGGCACCTCAGTAGCTCAATGTTTGAGTTATGATCCTGGGCCCTGGGATCAAGTCCTAAATTGGGCTCCCGGCAGGGAGCCTGCTTCTCCCTCTGCCTGTGTCTCTGCCTCTCTCTGTCTTTCTCGTGAATAAATAAATAAAAATCTTTTAAAAAAAAATAAAGATGTGTTTTAAATACTATTTGAGTAACTTAAAGTTTATTTTTTAAATTTTATTTTTAAGTAATCTACACCCAGTAGGGACATGAACTCATAACCCCAAGATCAAGAGTCACATGCTTTACCAGCCGAGCTGGCTAGGTGCCCCAGTTTTCATCTTAAGCACTACACCCCAGTATGGGGCTTGAACTCCTCACCCTGAGATGGAGAGTCACCCACTCTACCCACTGAGTCAGCCAGGTGCTCCTGAGTAACATTTGAAAAGAGTATTTAATCTGTGTAAGGATGAGTGCAGACTACCTCCTCTTGGTGTGGAAAGGTCTGGTAGGGCAGGGGAAACCCTTGCTGGGCAGCTCACCCTGACATGCTTCCCCTACCCCTCCTATTCTCCCTGGAGGCTTTAGGGTTGGTCCCCTGCATCTGTAGAAAGCTCTTCCCAGGGTAGCAGCAGGACCTGGGCAGCTGGCCGGGGCCAAGGTGTGGCAGGGCTAGGGCACTTCCTCCTGTGAATCAGTGTGAGCTGGGCTGGGGAGATCCCACAGTACCAGCTCTCTTCCTTCACAGAACCATCATCCCCTTCTCTGCCTTCACTCCTCCCCTTCCACCTCTTCGCCCAACCTGCAGGTTTCTGTTTTCCAGAAGGCCTTGCCTTGGGGAAGTCACTGTCACAGGGCTGTAGATGGCTTGTGTTTGTGTTGTGCTTTCTTGCTTTCAGCAGCTCTCACCCCCATTACTCTAGATAATCTTCACAGTAACGTTGTGAGTCAAGAGAAAGCAGGCGTTGCCAGTATCCCCATGCATTCCCAAGACTGCTTGTTCTCTAGGTCTGGACATACAATTCCTTATACATGTATTTGTTCGCAGGCTTTTTTTTTTTTCTTTCTTCCTTCCGCCTCTTTTCCTTCTTTCCTCTTTTGCTTTTTTTTCTTTTTTTGTTTTTAGATTTATTATGGAACATGAAGGTGAAACCCATTTGGTTACTTCTTCCCTCTTGAGCTGGTTGAGAAAGGAGATTCCTTTTTTTTTTTTTTAAGATTTTATTTATTTATTCATGAGAGACACAGAGAGAGAGAGGCAGAGACACAGGCAGAGGGAGAATGGAGAAGCAGGCTCCTCACAGGGAGCCTGATGTGGGACTTGATCCCAGGACTCCAGGATCACACCCTGGACCAAAGGCAGGCATTAAACTGCTGAGCCACCCAGGGATCCCCAGAAAGGAGCTTCCTTATGTTTTCCCTTGAGACAGAAAGTGTTTCAATGGATGGGCTAGATGTACTCTTTTGCTAGCTTTTCCTGACAGTTTTTATTTCATTTGTTTTTCTTTGTAATTGGGAGAAAGAAGAAAAGTAAGGAGATGGGAGACGTGTCAGGGCCCAGAGGAAGGAGTCCTGGTTGGAGACTTTGATCATTCATACCTCCCTTTGAATATAAAAGCGAGTATGAGGAACGTTATGAATGTGTCATGAATATTTGAGAAGAAAGTTGCACCTTAAAAGTATGGAATTTCAGTTTTCTGTGACATCATGGCCCCAGTAAACCACCTTCCAAGGGAGTGTGCCTCTCGGCCAACTGCAGAGCCCTGAGCTGCTCAGGGACTGAGCGGGTTTGACAAGAGGCCAGGTGTCAAAAACCCTATTGTTTGTGTAGGGATGGTGATTATTGTGAAATCTTGAGAAACTATCTTAAATACCAAGCTGGGAGTCAGATGACATAACTACTTCATTGCTCAAGAATGCTTTGTCTCCTGTTTTCCCCATTTAGGTAACCAGAGAAGACAAAGAACTACATAGAAAGATCCACCATATCATTCAAGAAGACTGCCAAAAACCAAATCGTAAGTGGTGGAATGTATGTGTGTGTGGTACCCCAGTGCACTGCCGGGGAGTGTTCCCTCCCAGAGAGCACTGGATGGAGAGTCAGGAGACCTGGGGCTTTCCCCAGTAGTGACTTGGAAAAACGACTGGTCAAGACACCTGCCCTATCAGAGCCTCAGTCTCTTCTTCTGTAAAGGGAACATTAGACTCTCAGGGTTGTTCTGACCTTAGCTGCACATAAGACTTGGCCATGGAGCTTTTTTAAACATGCAGTGCTCAGGTCCCAACCCTGGGGATTCTGATTCATTAGGGGTTGGGACAGGAGCTGGACAGGTGAGCATCGCAGGTGATTCTTGTACAGTGAGGTAAGACACAAGGCCAGGACTTTCTGATCTTCTGGTTCTCATATTCTCACTAATTTGTCTTATTTCTTATTCTACTCTTGCCCCTTGTCTTTGAACCCAGACGAGACAGCTTCCTTTCTTCTAACATCAAGCCTTTCAGTGTGAGGAGGAATGGTTCTAGACATTACAGTTTATGATTAGTGTAATTCAGTCATCGTGGAACCTGATAATTTGCAGAAGAAATGGTTTAAAATACAGTTGGTTTTAGTGGTGTTAGGTCAACCCCTAGTGGTTAGACACTCAAACTGTAGATAGTCTGACAATAGACATTACCATCTTCACACTTGTCAGAAAAAGAAGAAAGCACTAGTCCTATCTTTAAATCCTATGTAAACTGATCAGACTTCAAGGTGACTTTTCAGTCTGTCTTTTGCAAACATATGCTGATAATGAACTTTGCCATTTGTCAATAAACAAGCCTGGAAGAGCAGGGAAGACTTGTTAATGATGGCAGGTCTCCTCAGCCTGCTTGCTTTCTCTCCAGAGAAACCCACCCTCAGCCCTCTCAGCCACTCCATCCCCAGGGCTTGGCCCTGCTCCAGGCTGTCAGCAGGTGGAGCTGGACCAGGTCTCCAGTCCTGGGGTTTATGGTATGCAGCCCTGCTTAGCCTTTAAGAACCGATGAGGTCACATCCCAGAGTAGGGTGACAACAGATCTTAAAATAAACTGAAAGCAATCTATTATTTTAATGCAAGGTTTCTGGCTTTTGTTTACATCATTCAGAACAAGGACGAGTATCCTTGAGTTGGGGAAAACCTATCCACCCACTATTTAGGGTGCTCTAAAGAGCACTGAAATGTGGAGTGCTTCAACCAAAGAGATGAGAGACTGCTCCCCAGGTAGCCTTCCTGCACTCATCCTCCTTGTAGGCCACTAGCCAGATCTTATTTTGATCTGCATTGGGAACAGGATGGATTGAAATAATCCCAGTGCCTGGTGAAGCAAATGAAAGGAATTCACACTTCTCAGGGGAACCAAACTGCCTGGTAACCTGAGAGTCTGTAAAAGTGGCAGGTTTTACACCCCTTCCAACCCCCAGCCCTCTTGCCTTGGTGAGTGTGTATGTCAAGGTGGACAGCCTCTGCCACTCTGTATATGGGAGCCTCTAAAAGCTGTAAGCTAGTCCCCAGAAATAGGACACTCCCAGAAGCTGAATTCTGGAGCATTAGTAACTGAGAATACCAGTCAAAATACCTCATAGGGACTGTCTTGGAATCTGTTGAGACCACTTCTTGTCATAGAAAAAAAACCTATGACATTAAAAAAAAATACACATATATATATCATGTCTGGACATGGCAAAAAGTCAAACAGTGCAAAGTGCACACAGAAAGTCAGAATCCCTCCAGGGTCTATGTTCCCAAAGGCCGTGGTTGCTAATCAGTTTCCTACATATTATTATAGAGATGTTATGAATACTTACAAACATACCTGTGTAGTTTCTTTTTAAAAAGCCCCACAAGTAAAGGTTAACATTCGATTCTCAGTTTCCACATCTTGTACCTTAGATCTAACATTGGCTTCTTGAAGTCATTCAGCAACAGCACACATAACAGTGCCTCAGTCTTTTTTAATCACTGCACAGGATTCCATTATATGTATAGATAGATCTTCACTTAATCATTCCTACTGGGCTGTTCGTTTCTAACCTTTTGTACAAAATAACCGCATTGAATTTTTCCTTATCAGGATGATCGGTAGGACATGAAATCTCTAGTCCTTTATAAGTCAGTAACAGAACAACTTACAATAAGGAAAGGACTGTAAACGTGAAGCCTGTTTCCAGTCCCTAAGCACTGATACTGGGCTTGTCTAAAGCCAGGCAGCATGGCAGAGGTGAAGCGCTGGGCTCTCCAGCCCCCCTTCCGTGGGTTTGAATCCTACGTCTACCTCTTTGTAGCTGTGTGATCTTGGGCAGGCCTGTGCATCAGTTTTCTCTTTTTTTAAGTTTATTCATCTATTTTAGAGAGAGTATGTGTGAGCGGGAGGAGGGCAGAGGGAGAGAGAGACTCTGAAGCTGACTTCTCGCTGAGCAGGGAGTCCCAACAGGGGGCTCTGAAGATTATGATCTGTGCTGAAATCAAGAGTCAGTTACTTAACCGACTGGGCCACCCAGGCACCTCTCTTTTTTAAATTAAGTATAGTTGGTTTACAATATTATATTAGTTTTAGGTGTATAGTGTAGTGATTTAACATTTATATACATTACAAAATGATCACCATGATGTCTGGTGACCATCTGTCACCGTACAAAGTTATTAAAATATTGACTTTTACCTCTATTTACATTCATGTCACTGTTTTATAACTGGATGTTTGTACTTCACTTACTTCATCCATTCTCTCACTCCCCTCCTCTCTGGCAACCACCAGTTTGTTCTCTGTAGTTATGAGTCTGTTTCTGTTTTGTTTGTTTGTTTTGGTTTTTAGATTCCACATATGAATGAAATCATATGGTATTTGTCTTTCTCTGACTGACTTCACTTAGTGTGATACCCTCTAAGTCTATCCACATTTTCGCAAATGGCAAGACTCGCTTTTTTTTTTTTAACTCATTCACTTTTATAGCTGAGTAATGTTCCATTGTATATACACACTGTATCTTCCTTACCCATTAATCTATCGATGGACACTTGGGTTATTTCTTTATCTTGGCTATTGTAAATAATGCTGCAGTGAATATAGGGATGCAGATATATCTTTCAAACTAGTATTTTCATTTTCCTCAGATAAATGGAATGGAATTTCATGTCCAGAAATGGAATTGCTGGATCATATGGTATTTCAATTTTGAATTTTTTAAGGAACCCCTATACTATTTCCCATAGTGGCTGCACCAGTTTACATTCCCACCAGCAGTACTTAAGGATTCCCTTTTTTCCACATCTCCAACGCTTGTTATTTCTTGACTTTTTGATTCTGGCCATTCTGACAGGTATAAGGTGGTATCTCATTGTGGGTTTGATTTGCATTTCCCTGATGATGAGTGCTGTTGAGCATCTTTTCATATGTGTCTGTTGGCCATCTGTGTGGTTTCTTTGTAAAAATGTCTATTCGGGTCTTTTTTAATTGGACTGTTTGTATTTTTGGTGTTATATGAATTCTTTATATATTTTGAATATTAACCTCTTATAGATCTGCCATGCACAGATATTTCATATTTAGTGGGTTGCCTTTTGGTTTTGTTGATGGTTCCATCATATGCAAATGCTTTTTAAAAAAAGTTCAGTGTAGTCCCAATTGTTTATTTTTGTTTTTGTTTCCCTTACCTGAGGAGACAGATCCAAAAAATATTGTTAAGACTGATGTCCCAAGAGTTTACTGCCTATATTTTCTTTTAGAAGTCTTATGGTGGGGCATCTTGGTAGGTCAGTCCTTTAAGCTTCTGCCTTCAGCTCAGGTCATGAGTCCTGGGATTGAGTTCCAGGTCAGGCTCCCTGCTTAACAGGGAGTCGGCTTCTCCTCTACACTCCCCGCCCAGCTTATCTTTATCTTAATTCTTCCATTGCATAAGCATAGAATGTCTTTCCATTTGTTTATCTTCAGTTTCTTTCACCAGCGTCTTATCATTCTTAGAGTACAGATCTTTCACTTCTTTGGTTAAGTTTATTCTTAGATACTTAATTCTTTTTGATGCAATTATAAATGAGACTGTTTTCTTATTTTCTCTTTCTGATAGCTCATTTTTAGTCTATAGAAATGCAACCACTTTAGGGATGCCTGGGTGACTCAGCGGCTGAGCATCTGCCTTTGGCTCAGGTGTGATCTCGTGGTCCCAGGATCGAGTCCCACATCGGGCTCCCTGCATGAAGCCTGCTTCTCCCTCTGCCTCTGCCTTTGTCTCTGCCTCTCTCTGTGTGTCATAAAGAAATACATACATACATACATATGTACATAAATTAAAAAATCAATCTTTAAAAAAAGGAAAGAAAGAAATGCCACCACTTTAGATCCAAAGACACAAATGGATTGAAAGTGAAAGGTTGGAAAAGATAACCTGTGCAAATAAAAATAACCAACAGAGAGCAGGGGTGGCTATACTAATACCAGATAAAACGAACTTTTTTTTTTTTTAAGATTTTATTTATTTATTCATGAGAGAGAGAGAGGCAGAGACACAGGCAGAGGGAGAAGCAGGCTCCATGCAGGGAGCCCGACATGGGACTCGATCCCAGGACTCCAGGATCACGCCCTGCGCAGAAGGCAGGCACTAAACCACTGAGCCACCCAGGGATCCCTAAAACCAACTTTAAAACCAAAAGTTTTAAAGGACATTATATATTACTAAAACCAAAAAAGGACACTATATACTACTAAAAGGTTCAATACAGCAAGAGGATATAGCAATTATAATCATTTATGTACCTAATGACACCATCAAAATAGATGGAACAAAAATTGATGAAAGTGAAAAGAGAAATAAATAGTTCTACAGTACTATTTGGAGACATCAGTACCCTACTCTCAATAATGGATAGAACCAGCAGACAGAAGATAAGGAAAAAGAGGACTTGAACACCACGAGAAATCAGTTGGGCCTAACAGACCTACACAAAACACTCCAACAATAGAATACACATTCTTCTCAAGTGCACATGGGACATTTTCCAGGATAGAGCATATGTTAGGTTACTACTTAGTCTCAGTAGATTAAAAAAAGATACCATACAGAGTATTTTCTTGACCACGGTGGGATAAAGTTAAAAATCAGTGACAAAACTAGAAAACTTAACACATTTGTGGAAATTAACACTCTTAACTAGTAGATAAGAGAAGAAATCACAAAGGAAATTGGAAAATAGCTAGAGGAATCAAAGTTTAGGAGACACAGCACTAAAGGGAATGTTATAGCTACAAACACACTATAAATCAGGAATTTCAAATCAAAACCGAACTTCTGACAATTTAAGGAATTAGATAAAAGAGGAACAAATTAAACCAAAGCTAGCAGAAGAAGACAGACAATAATAACAATTAGAGCAAAGATAAATGAAGTAGAGAATAGAAAATTATCGGGGAAATTGGGCAGCCCTGGTGGTGCAGCGGTTTAGCACTGCCTGCAGCCCAGGGCATGATCTTGGAGTCCTGGGATCGAGTCCCACGTCAGGCTCTCGGCATGGAGTCTGCTTCTCCCTCTGCCTGTGTCTCTGCCTCTCTCTCTCTCTCTCTCTCTCTCTCTCTCTCTCTCTGCATCTCTATGAATAAATAAATAAAATCTTTAAAAAAAAAAAGAAAATAATAGAGAAAATGAAACCAAAAGTGGATTCTTTGAAAAAAATCAAAATTGCCAAACCTTTAGCTCAAGGGAGATGAAGAAGAAAAAGGAAAGACTCAAATTACTAAAGTCAGAAATGAAAATGAGGACATTAGTACTGGTTGTACAGAAATAAAGATTGTGAAAGAGTACTGTGAACAGCTGCATGCTAACGAACTGGATAACCAGATGAAATGGCCGGATTCCTAGAAACAAAAGCTACCAAGACTAAATCAGATGGAAAAAGGAAATTTGAATAGAGCTCCAACTCATAAGGAGATTGAATCAGTAACAAAAAATCTACCAACAAAGAAAAGCTCTGGACCTAATGGCTTCTTGGTGAATTCTACCAAACACATAAAGCAAAACTAATACCAGTCCTTCTCCCCATGTGACTGGAAGGTCACTTTGTGAGCATCCCTCCCAGACAACCCCCAGATGGCAGCATGGCCTTTCTGAAGAAATCATCTAAGGCCTTCGGGGCAGTTAGCATCACTGTTTGGGGCCCCACATGTGTCCGTAGGTCCTCTTGAGCCCTGAGCTTGGGCGTCCAGGCCCAGCAAAGACCTATGAAAACCCAAGTGGTGGTGAGAGTCCAGTGCTCCCTCTCTGCCATGTGTAGGCCTAGTTTGGTTGGAGTCCCTCTCCACCCTCCAGCATCACCCTTCCCAGGAAGGGCTGAAGCTGCTTTGGAGCAGGGACTAGGTCACGTGCACCATCTAGGTTATGAAGATGACATTGTCGTCATCATTGCCATGTAGGAAGCACCCGCCACAGGGCTCCTTTAGTCCCCACAGCTCCTGGTGAAGTAGATGATTCTCTTTCCATCTTATACCTCCAGAGATGTGAACTGCTCTGCCTGAGTTGAAGCTAGTACTTGAATTTGGGTCTGTTGGACTATGGAGTCAGCTCTCCCTCTGTCACTTGCTCCTCCTTTTGCAGCACTACACACATTGGAGGGTTCGGGAAGTCTTTTTTTTTTTTATTTTTATTTTTATTTTTTTAGTTATTTATGATAGTCACACAGAGAGAGAGAGAGAGGCAGAGACACAAGCAGAGGGAGAAGCAGGCTCCATGCACCGGGAGCCTGACGTGGGATTCGATCCCGGGTCTCCAGGATCGCGCCCTGGGCCAAAGGCAGGCGCCAAACCGCTGCGCCACCCATGGATCCCCGGGAAGTCTTTATGGAATGAATGTTGAAGGAACAGCCTGGAAACCAGTGAAGGTGGCAAGCTGTTCAACAGCAACCCAAACTGGGAGGAGTGCTGAGTTGACAGGGCCACTAGAGGTCAGAATTTAGCAAGTCTCCGTTAGCTCAAGAGCAATGCTAGTGATATTCTCTGACTCTTAGAGCTGGAAAGGACCCCAGGGGTGCCCTCCCCCCTACTTAGTCCCTCCCCCCCACCATTGGTGAGAAAACTGGGGCTCAGGTGCGCCACCTCCCAAACCATGCTTAGCCCAACACCATGATACCTCTTTAATCACTTTCCTGTAGCCTAAAGCATTCTATTCTCTGAAAACAACATTCAGTAACTGTGTGGAGCAACAGATGTGCCAGGTGCTGGGGATGCAATGGAGAGGCCAAGCCTGGCCCTGCAGGGGGGCTTTAAGTGAATCTGGGGAGGGTTTGTTCTCAGTAATGAGGTTTGACTTTGACTCAGAGTAACAAATGCATTTTACAATCATGATCCAGTACTATATATATATATATATATATATATATATATATATATATATATATATACACACACACACACACACACACACACACACACACACATATATATATACATATACATGAAAAAATGCATATACTTATACATGTGTATATTTATATACAGGTAAAAAGTTTCACAAAATAATACTTATAGTACCATAATGCAATGCATTTTGTAATTTCCTATTCCCTTCTTTCTTAATCTGTTGATAATGAAACAAATGCTAATCACACAACTCATTGAGTTGATTCCCTGACCCTCTATTGGTCACAGCTTCACTGTCCATTCCACATCTCTAAATCATTGGTTTGAAGTAGGAAAGAGGTTGCTAAACCCTGAACTTTTATCATTGTAAACTAAATAGTCTTGGGTCTTTTTGTGTGGAGGAAAGCAGATTACTAGAACACAGCCATCGTGGACACGATTGCTTGGAAGCCTAGGCAGAGAGGAATGAGAATGGAGTAGTGGTCAGAATCCCTTCCTCCCCAGGCTGTCCCCAGGCTGTCTCGTTAGTCAGGACTTACGGGAAGACTGTGGAGGCTGCCCTAAACCAGCTCTGTTGTCCATCTCAAGATGGCTTCCGCCTGGGAAGCTGTGGGTTCAGCCCTGAATAGGTGCCCTCATGCATGTAACTGCACTGGAGGAAAAAGATTTTCAAGTACTAAAAATCCATTTGGTTCTAGATAATAAATGATTAGCATTCCCTGAAGTTGGAAGGCCCAGGTTCCTGAGCTGTGAGTCCACGTCATGTGGTGAAATCAGGGTCCCGAGAACAGGGCTTTTGTTAAAATGCAGGTCCTGACTTGGGAGCTTTGGAGGGGGAGGGCTAAGAAGGGGAAGGGGGGCCTGACAGGCATGCCAGACTTAGCCAACTGCCTTTTTCAGCAGACACCGAGAAGGGCTGCCACTTCCAGCACATCTTGGCCTGTGCTCGCCTGAGCATCAGCCCGGGCCTGAGTGAAGGTGTGCTGCAGCAGGTGCTGGAGCTCCTGGAGGACCAGAGTGACATCGTCAGCACAACAGAGCACTACTACACGGCGTTCTGAGGAGAGGCCTTCTGAGGAGAGACCAGTGGACGGCGTGGGCGGGGCCAGGCCACGGAAGAGGAAGACGGGGTGGTGGTCACTCCTGGGCTCTGATTTTAAACATCACCCTGAGTCCTATAGGTCTGGTGGCGATTGTCTCATAATAAACTGTGAAATATTATTTAAGGAATGGAATTTGGCATAAATTCTGTAGGCTGCCCTCTAGCTGCCATATCCTTGGGATAAAATAACTTTTATTTCAGCCATGACATAGAAGAAAACCTTCCCTGTTGACCTCCAGACTGGACTGGACGTTTGCCCTTGGAGCAGAAGGGAGGAAACAGTGTAAGTGGCTGAATTGGTGTGTGTGTGGCTTAAGGTTCTGTCATAGTAAAGGGATGTCACATGGTAAAGTGAACTGAAAAGCATATAGCCAGATCACACAGACCTAAAACATTTTAAAACTTCAGACTGGCAGGTACATTCTTGTAGGCCTCTCTCAGTGGTTAAGAACTTAGTGTAGGGAACTCATTCTTGGATGAGTATCACTCATCTGTGATTTCCAAGGGTCAAGTACCAGTGGTGGATTCTGAATCCTGGGATGGATGTTGTTTGCAGACCCACCCGGAGATGAGAATAAATGGATCCAAGGCATGGCTGTGTTGGTCATTAACTTCTTTTCTTTATGAATCAAAAGGTGTCTCAGTGTATTTCCCTAAACTTGATGATATACGTGACTAAAGACATTGTCCTTTAATGCCCTGAAGTCCCTTGCCGGGCCGGTAGACACTGTTTTCAAGGTTACCACTAAATGTGCAAGGCGTCCTGACATCCAGACAAAGACTGTATGTGCCCAGACAGGTGATGGAGTCATGGTGTTGCTAGGAATGACAAGGTAAAGGGGGAAAATCTGAGATATGTAGTAGGCTTGTTCTAACAGCTAAATGACAAATCCAGCCAGCAAAAATAAAGTGTGGAGAAAGATTGGGAGTTAATTACAGTCATTGCAAAAAGGCACATCTGCCTTCATCTGCTGCATTTGCTCTTGACGTAATAAGCTCTTAGTAGCTCTGCTGGAGAGCCTGCAGGCCTTGAGAGTTCTGTTCTATGTGGAAATGGAGTGGTTTTTATACTCAGAAATTGGCTGCAGTTTCATATGTCAGGCTGAAGGCTAGTACCAACACATTGCTTCCTGTCGTGGACTTTTCTACTTGATCCAAACATCTGCCCTCCTAACAGAAGTTTACCCAGATAGCTGCCCTATGCCCTCTGTGCATTTGGAAGCTTCCCCGTACAGTGGGGTCTACCTGGAAAAACACCCCAGGGGTTCTTCCTTAATAGCAAAGGATGTTCCATGTTGAATACATCGTAGATTATTGAGGCTGCCCAGGAAGGAGTCTTGAATCAGCAACCCCACTTCCAGGGTTTATCCCAAGGAGACAACCACACAGGTGTGAGAGGAATGCACAAGATTCCCATTGCTCTGTAATTAGGGTTCTATAATTGGGGAAAATATCCATAGGGAAAAATTAATTATGATACATGTATACAGTAAAATGCTCTGCAACCGTTAAATGATGGAGTAGACCGATAGTATTCCCATGGGACACTTACCAAGAAAATTGAGTCGCAGATCTGTTTATATAGTATACCACTATTGCTCTAAATTACTTGTATCTGTATCTCTATACAGAGAGGATGTTTCTGCTTGCACATCTGTATAAATGTGGCCCGGGTATACATGTACAGTTGATCAGTCTCATCTCCTAGAAAGACTTTCTGCACTTGGTTTTCAGGACACCACACTGGGTGCCCTTTCTCAATGTCCTTTTCATGGTCTCATCTCCCTGAGCTCAGCGTTGTGTTAGACCTCATCATTCCTGTGTAGCTTGCTCCCTTGGAGGTCTTCAGACCATCCATATGCTGACAGACTCACCATATTTTATCCTGTGAGGACCTCTTCTGAACCCCAGACCCCTACATTCAGCCTCCTACCAACGCCTCCGCTTAGTGTCTATAAGACACCACAACTTTTTACCCACAGCCAGGCACCTAATTACCCCTGACCAAAGACTTGTTCCTTCTCAAGTTTTTTCTGATTCAGGAAAAGGCCTCCTTCTCTTTCCAGGTGCTCAAGCCAAACACGCTGACTCTTCTTTCTCTCACATTCCACATCCAACCTTCCTACCGGTCACCTTGGTTCCACCTTATACGTATTTTTAGAATCTAATGGCTTCGCACTGTTCCACTGGAGCGTATTGCAGTTGCCTCCTGACCCTCCCCAGTCCACTCTTCACACAGCAGCCAGAGCCATCTGTTCAAGTACAAGCTAGAGTCTGTCGTCCTCTACTTCTGCTCTCCCGAGACTCTTGCTCCAGGCAGAGTCTGGAGCCCTCTTGCTTACAGGGCTTCCCAGTATCAACAAGGTTCTGCTCTGCTGGGCCTCCTCTCTGCAATCTGCCCCCTGCGCCCACCCCGCTTAGCTTCACAGGCCTTCCTGTCCCTCACACCCCAGGGACACTCCTGCCGTAAGGCCTTAGTGTTTGTTTCCTCTGCCTGGGATGTTTCTTACCCAGGCAACCATGAGACAGCCTTTTCCCTCCCCTCCTTTGGGTCTTTCCTTGAGGATGCCGTCTTCCTAAGGCCTGCCCTGGTCCCTCTTTTGTGAATCAGAACCAACCCTTTCTCCCTCCCTCAAGGACTCTTCAGTACTTATTTTTCTCCACAGGACTCGTCATCATGTGACACCTTACATATATTTCTTACTTCCTTTATTATCAGTCTTTCCCGCAGAAGAAATGCCCTATGAGGACAGGGCTCTTTCTCTGTTTTGTTTCCTGCTGTGTCCCCTGCCTCTAGAGCAGTGCCTGGCTATCCTTTAAACGATACCACTTCTGTGTATGTGTCTGGCTGCCCTCTACCTGCAAGGATCTTCCCTTCTTCCCCCCACCCCAAGCGGGGGGAGGGGGAATGTCTTTCTCCAGTGTCTTGGAAGGCTGTTGAGGCTCAGAATTAAACCCACTAGGAACAGCTCATCTAGTGGGACCTGTGTAAACATCCCAGTACACTTGCCCTTCAAATAAGATCTCTGAGGCACGTGTTCTACACCATTTTCCAGAGTTTCTTTGTGGGATTAATCTCCATCCACCTGCAGCAGCAGCTGACTTGACAACCACGCTTGATTGGCTGCCTTAACTTCCCCATCTTCCCCACTCCTCATTACTATGTGCTATATCTCCCAAATGAGTCCCTTCCTTTCCAGTCCTTGTCTCACAGTCAGCTTCTGGTTGAGCACAGATTAAACACCACGTTCATAAGTATATTTGAGAAATGCTCTATGAATAATTACATATCAAGCAGAGATTACTAGAAAAACCAAAGTGACCCACTGGATCCTGAAAGGTGAGATAACAGATGCTTTTTTGCTACATATCTGTAGTTGACAATTTTACAATTAGCAATTGTTATTTCTACAAAAATTATAAAGCTGCTTTTGACTCCCCACCCCACACTCACAACCTGAATGATGAGCAAACCAGGAATAAGATGCCTTAGATCCCATGGCAGCAGAAGAACTCTGAGAAGATGAGCGGAGCCCTTGGAAAATTCTTTGGGACTAACGACAGTTGGGTCACTGCTCATGCCCTGAAGAACCACCAGAGGCTTCCCCTGAAGAAGAGGGAAACATCCTGGCACTCTCAGTGTGCACGTCTCAGGAGGCATGAATACTGCGTATGGTTTATGTAAGCAGGAGGACAAGTAGTGCTTCTGTCCGGACAGGGGTTTGTGTGAAGCTCTGTGTTTCTCTCCATCTGGTAAGCTACCAGCGCTCCTCAACCCTAAAAGACACTTCTTTCTAATTATTTTTCCCTCTGATAGTGTGCCAGGACACTGGCCGAGAGAAAGCCAAGTGGAAAGAAGTCAATTCAGTGATGAGGAACCCAGGATTTGGTGCCAACGATTGAAACCAAGCAAACTTGTAATTTTCCATCAGGGAAAGCATCCACACTGTCTTATTAGTGTGGTTTCTCCTCTACAAGTAGCCTCTACAGCAGTTTCCCAGAGAAGCATCTCATTGTTTCCTTATGAGATGAAGGCGAAGCATACGGCAGACTCCAAATGACCGTCATGAAGCTTGTACAGAATTTATTTTTAAATACAGCCTATTTTTCCTGAAGTTTTATTAAATAAACCCCAAAAGTAAGTCACAGTACAGCACAAGGCTGTGTTCATAAGAATTGTAAATCAGATCCCAAATTCCTGAAGGGACCGAAGTCTTTCCCTGTGTGTCAAATTAAAGTGATAGGTTTCATCGTGGAACATAAAGAGAGAAATTTTGAATACCACATAATAGTTTTTTTAGGTAGTAAAGTGGTATGTCATTCGCTCAGACTGATTCGGTGAAAGGTTTATGTAAATTAGTGAAAAGTCTGGAAGTAGTGCTATTTTATTAAGTATGTGGTGTTCTGTAGGACATCTGCATTACTATGAGGGAGCAGGTTGGCTGCTCTATAGAAAACCTGTTTTGATGAATAAGAATTATCTTAATTGGGTATCATTTAATTATTACGTGTTATGTGTTATATAATATTAATAGGTGACTTTATTTTAAAATTTTTTAAAAGATTTTATTTATTCATGAGAGACACATAGAGGCAGAGACATTGGCAGAGGGAGAAGCAGGCTCCCTGCAGGGAGCCCAATCCGGGATTCAATCCCAGGACCCCGGGATCATGACCTGAGCAGATGCTCAACCACTGAGCCACCCAGGTGCCCCTAATAGGTGACTTTAAAGTACTTAAGAGATTTGAGGGCATGTCCACACAAAAAATTCTATGTCAATGTTGATAACACTATCATTCCTGATAACCAGTAAGTGAAAACAACCCACGTATCCATCAAGTGATGAGTGGATGAACAAATGTGTATCTATACAATGGAGTATTATTCAGCCACACAAAGGAATGAAGTACTGATACATACTACATGGATGGACCTTGAAAACATTACGCTAAGTGGAAGATGCCAGATACAAGAGGCCACATATTGTATGATTCCATTTATCTGGAGTATCTAGAATAGGCAAATTCATAGAGAAAAAAGATAGTGGTTGCCAGGGCCCCGGGGGATGGAGGGGATTGGATAGGATAGTATAGGATTTCCTTTTGGGGTGATAGAAATCTTCTGGTATTAGGTGGTGGTGATGTTTGCACAACTGTGAACATACTCCAAATGACTGAATTATGGACTAGGTTGGGATTCCTTACAGCATGATGACTGCATTCCAAGGGTAGGCATCCCAGAGAGACCATGATCCTCATAGAAGCTGTATGGCCATTCTGCGCATAGCCCCAGAAGTCACACAGTGTCGTTTCCATGGTTTTCTCATTGCCAAAGCTGTCAAAGTCCCACCCAGAGGAGTGAATAAACCACCTCCTGATCGGGAGTAACAAAGTTCTAGAAGGGCCTGTAGAACCAGGAATATTGCCCTGGCCATTTTTGGAAAGCACGATCTGTCACAGACATGTTTCAACTTTTATACACATACAGCCTCATTCTTTTTTTTTTTTAAGATTTATTTATTTATTCATGAGAGACGCATAGAGGCAGAGGGAGAAGCAGGCAGGCTCCCTGCAGGAGCCCGATGCGGGACCCAATCCCGGGATTCCAGGATCGTGCCCTGAGCTGAAGGCAGACGCTCAACCACTGAGCCACCCAGACGCCTCTGTAGCCTCATGTCTCATTCTTAAAGACAAAAACACAAAAAAGAAAAAAAACACTTTTAAAAAAAAATTTTTAATTTATGATAGTCACACACACACACACACACAGAGAGAGAGAGAGAGGCAGAGACACAGGCAGAGGGAGAAGCAGGCTCCATGCACCGGGAGCCCGACGTGGGATTCGATCCCGGGTCTCCAGGATCGCGCCCCGGGCCAAAGGCAGGCGCCAAACCG